CTGGTTCAGACATCTGTAATACCACTGTTGTCCATTGCTGGTTAACACCCAGGCGGGTTACAGGTGGATGTTGCGCACAATACCGTGGAGGATGTCTGTGCATGTTTCTGGAGGATTCTTGCCTACAGAGGAGTTGTGTGCATACCTGGCCCACGCCCGGCACACAGCTTTCCCTGGGGTTTTCACTTTCCTGACTTTAGGTGAATTTGAGAGCATGCTTTTCTGACTAAGTGAATAAGTAGTTGAAAAAATAAAACACACAGGAACAGTTTAACAGTAGCTGTTAAGCTGGGATTCCCTTTTTCCTCCTTCCCCTAAACACATGTGCCTGTTTGGCTAAGGTTCTAGTGCAGGGACTGAGACTTGCCTGTCTCTGGGCCTGATGTGGGCACATCTCCTTGTGCTCCCAGATCTGCTTTACATGTCCCAGCTCCCCAGCTGATTGGCAGTTGGGAGATGTGCTGGCTGCACAGGTGGTGTGACTGGGACCTGGGAGTTAGGGTGAGGTTGTGTCTTAGTTGCCTGTAGACAGGGAGCTCACATGAAGTGTAAGTGAAGTACTTCTGGAGGAGGTTGTGATCTGTAGCTGGAGGTGACTCTGCTGTGCATAAGGTGCTTGTGTTTCTTTTGATGTGGTTTTGGGTCTCTGAGGGGTCACCTTTATCTATATAAAGGTTTGGAAATGGACAGAATTCCAAATGCAAGAAAAATTGCTGAGTTTCAGAGCTCAACTAGAACTTGAGAACCAAATGTTGTACTCTCATTTGGGCTGGGCAGCAACGTGGATACTGCCCAGTTTGTTCAGAGTGAGAGCAACACCAGGAGACCTGACATTCACCAGGCTTTGCTTTGTTTGCGGGGACTTCCTTGTAATATTAAGACTGAATCTGTTCTCTTGAGCAATTATGGTAGCTGCACAGCCTCACCTATGCAAGTGATGGCTTTTGACTTCTATCCATGAGGTTGGTTGGGCTTTGCCTTTCTAGTTCTGAAAAAAGAAGGAAATTAAAATTTTTGCATTAGTATAAATGAAGTAGGAGGACTCTAGTTCTGCTATGGCAGGGTGATGCCACCAGGGCCTAGCTCCTGCTCATCACAGCTAGGACCCAGACAGAATGCCAAAAGCAAACACTGAGACCTCTGGAAACAAAGCAGGCCGACACTGAGGATCAGCCTAGAGATCACTCATGAGGGGCTTCCTGGGGCTGGGCTTTTCTTCTGCCTCATGGCTGCACTCTGAAGGCAGTGCAGTCACAGTGCTGGCTACAGATTGTTAGGAGTCTCAGAGAACCAGAGAAAGGGCCTGGGGAGGGTCGGGGGCGGGTGAGTACTGGGCACATGGATCCACTTATTTGGGAACACATGAGTCTCAGGTCGGGCCCCAAACAGCAGGGCAATGGCTCTGAAAGTTGCATTTGATTCACATCTCACCCTGAATCTCAGCCGAATTCCCACATGGCATGTGCAGAGCAGAGCAAAGCATCAGAACCCAGACTTTACAAATATACAGGTTGGGAGTATATTTACTTACTTACACACACGACTGTGGTCTGAACCTAACGAATCCAATAGTCTTCTTCCACACTACTGGAGCTCAGCCACATTGATGATGGCACCCACACACCTGAACCCAGTCCCGTTGGTGATGGCACTCACACAAGCAGTCTGAATACAAATGAGAATCTGAATGGAAATTCCAAAATCCAACTGTATACTGTCTATAAGAAGTGCACTTTATATATAAAAAGACTTAGATATATTAAAAAGAAAGAGTTAAGCCAGGTATGGTGGTGCACACTCATAATCTCATACTTAGGATGCTGATACAGAAGAATTACAAGTGTGAGTCCAGCCTGGGAATATCATCCAGGAATACTACCAAGGAGAAGAGGGACATCTCCCATCTAGAAGAAAGAACAAGCCGGGGACAGTGGCATCCACCCATAATCCCCCCCACTCAGGAACCTGAGGGAGCAGGATTGCAAGTTTGAGGCCAGCCTCAGTAACTTAGCCAGACTATCTCAAAAAATAAAAAGGGTTAGGGATGTAGCTTAGGAGTAAGGTGTCCCTGAGTTCAATCTCCAAAACAAAAAAAAAAAAAAAAAAAAAAAAAGAGAGAGAAAAAAAGAGAGAAATCGGGAAAACCAGAAAATATTTTAACTGAATGAAAATGAAAATACAACATATCAAAGTTTATAACCGCAAATTCTTGTATTAGAAAATAAAATAGACCTCAGATTAATTATATGAGCTTCTCTCTAGAGAATCTAGGTAAGAACCCAATGCAGTGGCACACACCTGTAATCCCAGCAACTTGGGAAGCTGAGGCAGGAGGATCTCAAGACCCTGTCTCAAAAAGTAAAAAGGACTGGGGATGTGACTCAGTGGTAGAGTGCCCTTGAGTTCAATCCCCAGTAAACCCCTGCCCTCCAACCCCCCAAAAAGGAAAAAGAATCTAGGAAAGAAGAGAAAATGAAACTGAAATCAAACAGAAAGGAAATAATGAAGAGCAGAACTCAATGAGATTAAAAATGGAAAACAATATAGTCAACAGCATTGGTTCCTGGAAAACAGCTCTAAAATGCACATATCAATGAAGAAAGAGAAGACCGAAGCTGGGACGTCCGAAATGGAAGAGGAGACAGCTCTATAAGTTGAAGGAAGGGAAAATGTGAATCTCATGCCCACAAAGTCAACAACTAAATGAAATCAAATTCCTTGAATGACAAACTCTCTCTAGCAGAGAATATCTGAATATCATGTATATGAAAAAAGTCAGATTTTTTTGCTAAATTCTTTCTCATCAAGGAACATTCCAGACCTGAATGGCTTCACTGGAAAGTTCCACTGACATAACATTTACGGAAATAATGCTGATTTCACACAGACTCACAGAAAAGTGAGGAGGTGGGACTGGTTCCAAACTCATCTTTTAAGGCCAGAATTGCCTTGATACAAAAACAGACAGACATTACGAGAAAAGAAAATTGCAGACCAATATCTCCTGAACTGAGACACAAATATCCTCAACCAAAAATTGGAAACTTGAGTCCAGCAGCACCTGGGGAAGGGGGCTGCATCATAATGGAGTGGGTGTCACCAATGCCAAGATTTTGGAATACCCTAGCAACAGACTCAAGGAAAAAAAATATAATCATCTTAGGAAATGCAAAAGAAGCCTTTGACAGAAGCCAGAATCCCTTCATGATGTGAGATGTGGAAACATCCCAGGGAGGAGGGAGCATCCCGACCCTGAGGCCAGCCTCAGTGGGAGGCCAGGGGCTGGCCAGGCAGCTGTCCTCTTCACTGCTCTGAGCACCCTGGTGGAGGGCTCCCCAGGGTGGCAGGGAGGAAAAGGAAAAGCAGAAGGGCTGAGCGGAGGCCAAGCCACTGCCTTACAGGCAAGGAGACCATCTTGATGAAGAGTTCTATGATATCCTCAGCACACAAGAGCAGCTACAGCCTGTGTCTCAGCAGTGAGCAGTTGTCAGTCTGAATTTTGTAAACAGCATTTGTGATAGGTAGTACTAAAAAATATGAAATACTTAAAAGATGTGCAGGGTTTTATTGCTGAAAATTGACTTTATGAAGGAAATAGAGAAATGTACTGTTTTCATGGTTTGAAAAACTTGATATTACTGAGAAGGCAAATCTTCCCAAATTACCCAACATAATTCTGTCCAGATTTTGGCAGCGTGTTTTGTAGAAAAAGCTGAGCGTGGTGCGCACACCTATAACCCCAGCTGTTCAGGAGCTGGGGGCAAAAGGATCGTAAGTTTGAGCCCACCCTGAACAACCTAGTGAGACTTCGTTGTGAGACCTTATCTAAAAAATTTAAAAACACATAAAAGGGCTGGGGGTTTAGCTCAGTGATAGAATGTTTGTCTAGCATACAAGAGGACCTGGATTCCATCTCCAACACAAATAAGAAAAAAAAAAAAACTGATTATAAAGTTATATGGAAAGACAAAGAAACTAATAGCTAAAATAACTTAAAGAATAGGGGTTTGGGGGTACAGCTTATTGGTGAAACATCTGTCTAGCATACATGAGCTGGGTTCACTCCCTGGCCCTGCAAAAAAAGAAAGGGAAAGTGAAGTCAGAAATTAAGGTTCACACTGCTTATGTTTTGAGACCCGTGATAAAACCATAGTAGACTAGGTGTGTGCTCATGTAACACAGATCTGTAGCATGGGCAGCCAAAGTAGAGACAGACACTCAGAGGCAGTTTCAGAGGCAATTCCTATGTCCCCCTGAGCTCATGTGGGCATTTCATCCTCAAAGCCTCACGTCAGTGATGTTATGAGGTGGGAAGATAGCCCCACTGTGGTATTGAGAGGTGGGTTTTGAGAAGTGACTAGACTAGATAGGGTGATCAGAATGATTTGATCTTTACTAAAATTAGTAAGTTTACTAAAATTAGTAAATTTTAGTAAAGATCAGAATTGGTCTTTACTAAAATTAAAATCATCTACAAGTCATAGTGAAGAGGATAGAAAATCAGGCCTCAGACTGGAAGAAAATATTTGCAAACATATTTGATAAGGACTTGTATCCAGAATACACAAGAAACTCTCAAAATAAATAATAAGAAACAACAAAAATAGACAAAGGCTAAGCGTGGTGATGCACGCCTGTAATCGCAGCCACTTGGGAGGCTGAGGCAGGAGGATCACATGCTCAAGCCAGCCTGGGAAACTGAGCAAGGTCCTGTCTTGAAATAAAAATAAAAAGGGCTGAGGATGATGCTCAGTGGTAGAGCACTTGCCCAGCATGCTTGAGGCCCTGGGTTTGATCCTCAGTATTCCCCCTCCCCCAACTTCTGCCAACACACAGAGAAATGTCTGTGTTTAGTGCCCAAACTAGCACTGTCCATGGCCCAGACTGGGAGGAGCTTGGAGTTCTGCAAAAGGGAGCCAGAGAGGACCACAAGGGTCTTGGTAATTCCCCAGGAGCTGTGCTGTGTCCCTGGTGTGGGACTGACTGAGCTTTTGTTACAGGGTCACACTGCACCTTACAAAACAGTCTCTGCCCGAGCAGCGGCCCCATCCACCATCCTTCGGCTTCCAGCTGTGGCTTTTCAAGGAGTTTTTGAGAAATATCCTGAAACACTGGTGAGGGTGGTACAGGTGAGTCACTTTTTGGGTCAACTTCCCAGCTGCTATGGCTATCTCAGACATGGGGCCTGGGAACTACCATGAGGTTTGATTAGGGCTATTCCCAGTTTATGGAGTCAGTTCTGAGTTGTTGGTAGATCCAGAAAATGGTGGGATTCATAGGACCTAGTGATTTTTTGTTTTTTTGCAGTACTGGGAATCAAACCAAGAGCCTCATACATTCTGGGCAACTGCTCTACCACTGAGCTACAATCCCAGCCCTTTTTATTTTATTTTTTTCAAGACAGGGCCTTGCTAAGTTGCTGAGGCAGGCCTGGAACTTGTGATCCTTCTGCCTTAGGCTCCCAAGTGGTCAGGATTACAAGTGTGCACCACCATGCCCAGCTATAACTAAGGCTGTTTTTGTAATGTGTGTGTGTGTATGTGTGTGTGTGTGTGTGTGTATATATATATATATGTATATATATATATATATATTTATTTTAAAAAATATTCTTTTAGTTGTAGGTGGACACAATACCCTTTCATTTAAGTGGTGCTGAGGATTGAACCCAGGGCCTCACACATGTGAGATGAGTGCTCTGCCACTGAGCCCCAGCCCCAGTAATGTGTATTGTACAATAAAAATTAATTAATTTTCATGAGTTTGCAAGTTCCAGGCCAGCCTCAGCTGTGAGTCCCTGTCTCAGAGTAAAAAATAAAAAGGGCTGGGAGTATGGCTCAGTGGTAAAGTACCCCTGGTTTAATTCTCAGTACTGGGGGAAGGGGAAGAGGTCTTTAGATTTTCCAGATATCCTATTCCCTCCAAAAGTTTTTTTATTTTTTATTTTTTAGTTGTAGATGGAGACAATACCTTTATTTTATTTATTTATTCTTATATGGTGCTGAGGATCGAATCCAGTGACCTACACGTGATAGGCGAGCACTCTACTACTGAGCCACCACCCCAGCTCCCAAAAGATATTTTTAATTAAAAATTAAATACCTCATTTTAGAGTAAATTTAGATTTATAGAAAACTTACAAAAACAATGCAAATCCTGTGTGCCCCTCCACCCCATTTCCCATAAGAGCCTCCTATGACCAGCGGGCTGGCTGGGAGAGGGGGTCGGCTCCTGGGAGGTCAGGTGTGTCAGCTTGGGCCAGCCTCCAGCCTGTGGCTGCTCACTCCCCCACCCTCTCACTGCAGATCATTATGGTGCGGCTGCAGAGGGTGACATTCCTGGCTCTGCACAACTACCTGGGCCTGACCACAGAGCTGTTCAATCCCGTGAGTACACAGTGCCTGCAGAAGACACATCAGCACAGCCGTGGCCATGCCAGTTCAGGTCCTCAGCTTTGGAGTTTGGGACTGATGATGTGTTGGGCTTGCCTTTCTGCTTCAGGCCTATAGCAATGCACCGGGTTGATTCCTGGGAGTCAGGAACATTTATTAGGACCTGGGGTGCAGCTGGGCTCCTTCTCAGATCTGGAGCTCATCTCGCCTGGCACTGATCCTGGATAGAGGCTTTCCTCTCTCCCTTTCTACAACTGCAAACCTGCCCAGGGCACAGAGGCTATCTGCTGAGCTGTCGTTCCTTCTGCACTTGTCCCTCAGGCCACTCTTGCTAGCCCCTGGCTCTGTGTCCTGCCCTTAACTGATACTTAGCTGGGATGGGTTTGGAGGGAACCAAGCATTGCTAGGAGCACAAGGCTCGCCCACATCCTCATATGACCCTGGTCAGACACTTATTCTGTGAGAAGGGGCAAGACTAGTTTCCACCTGGTAGAGCTCTTGTGAGCTGCATTCCTTGCTCTTTCCCCAAATGTTAGAACAACACCACAACCTAGAGGGCAAAGGACACTCAGAAGGTACTGTGAAGTCCCCAGAATTTCCGGTATTAAGGGCTCAGTATATGTGCATTGTTACTATTCTCATGTCATCTGGGTGTCCTCCCTAGTCCCAATGATTTTTTAGGGTTTGTCATCTTCAGTTACTGGTGTTTTAGGGAATACCCTTTTGGGTTTTGTATTTTTCCTCTTCGTGAAGAGCATTACAGTTTCTGGGCTGTGATTTTGACTTATGTCAAAGGCAGAGCCTAAAAGGAGAGCAGGCTGAACTGCCACTGCCTTATAGAACCAGCCTTTGGGCGTGTCTAGACTCCAAGTAACAGCCCACCCAGTACTGGGATGTGCCAACATGTCCTTCAGGGTCCTTTCAGTGGAATGCCTGTGGGGACTGAGTACTGCTGATATTCCTTCTCATGCCCTAGGAGAGCCAGGCCATCCCTCTTGTGTCTGTAGCCAGTGTGGCTTCTGGACGGACCAAAAGGCAGGTGTTTTGTGGCACAGAGGAGCGTCTTGAGAAACCTGTACAGCCCCAAGATCCTTGCACCTCAGGTATGGTCCCCATCCATGGAGAGCGGCTCTCACCTTGAAGGCCAAGGGTTTCTCTCTTCCACTTCCTAGATTCTCACATGCCCAGTTACCTCATGAATACCCAGGTCTCCTCCTCCTCTGCACCAAGGTCTACTCCCCTATTCCCAGATCTCCTTCCCTGCACCCAGGTCTCTTCCTCTGCACCCAGGTCTTCTCCCCTGTGCCCAGATCTCCTTCCCTGTGCCCATGTATCCTCCCCTGCACCTAGGTCTCCTGCCCTGCACCCAGGTCTCCTGCCCTGTGCCCAGGTCTCTTCCCCTGCACCCAGGTCTCTTGTCTCTCATTCCTTTATTGTTCCTCTAGGTTTCCCTGTAAAGGAGTTTCCCAAGGGAAGCTTTATATGCAGAGCAAGTTCACAGCCTTGTGCTCTGGCTCAAGAGTAGGTTGAATCTGGGGACTAAATTGTCCAGTGAGGCCTGTACTGTGTGGGACATCTATAGGTGACCTATGCTATGGTGTTACCATAGAGCCACCTTGACAGTGAGGGGGTATGCTCTTTGTATTTTTATAAATCATCATATTCTCAAAAGGGTTTCCAGTAGCTAACAAAAGTCTGTTGAATTAAAACATATTTGGGGTGAATGTGGGCTGGAATGCAAAGGCTCCCTCTCATATGCTGCAGAGACCCTGAAAGTCCAAGGCCTGGCCCTGCTACCAGCTGATCTTCCTTGGGCAAGGCCAAGACCTAGCTCCAGCCCACTTACCTTTCCCCAGAAATGTGTTTTGGAATAGGTGTTCGTTAAGTCTTTGTTCCTGAGTAGCACTTATCTCTCCTGTACTGTTGGTCATTATGAAGCAAAAGCCTTGGGACTCATCCTCCTGAAGGTGCTTGGTGCAGGGTAGCAGTCCTGAGTGAGGCCTTTGCAGAGACCAAGGTGGTGAGGGTCATAGCCCTCTGCAAAACAGGCTGAGGCAGACTGCAAGGCTGGGAGCTTTGCTGTAGCACTGCAGCCAAGATTCACCCCAGGTGTGCTCAGGGGCCACAGCAAAGGGAAAGCAGCAGCTCCATTAGAACTCAGGCAGCAGTAGGGACAGTCAGTTCAGGAGACCCTCACAGTGGTTGGCAGGGAAGGACATGGGATTGGGGGAGCCCAGCAGGACCAATCTGAGGCCAGCATTTTCTTGTCACTCCCCTGGCAGGTGCAGATGGTGAGGTGGCCTGGAAGTTTGTCTGCAGGTGCACAGGTGCTGAGGAGGGCCATGCCTGGGCCGTGCACTGCAGTAGGGACCCTGCACCCTGAGCCCTTCAAGAGCTGGACACTAGGGCATGTGGAGACTGCAGTTGGCTTATATCTATCTCCCCTGCAGATCAAGGGGGCAGCTGTCCAGCAGCCTCTGGGCATTTGCTGAAGAGGAGTTACTCTGTCCCTTTGCCTTCTGTCCATGAGGAGGTCTCAGAAAAGCTTGGGCAGTCCCAGGCAAGAGATTCTGCTCTTCCAGGCCCACCAGGTAAAGGACCCTGCCATTGTGCTGTCAGCATTGCTCTGTGTATCAGAGGGATCGTCCATGCTGCCCTGCACCTTGTGTTTTCCTGTATAGCCTGAGGAGGTGGGCACCCTGAACTTGGTGCTGTTTATAGATGGACAAGAGCCTAATGGCCCCATGGGGCCTGTGCCTGCATTGTCACTGCAGGATTAGGCATCTAGCTCCTGTACACAGTGCCTACACAGTGGGGTCCCTGCATCTGCCTGCTTCCCTCTTCTGCCCCTCCTACTGGCCCCTTCCTTGGTAGCAGGCTCTGCTGATGTTCCCACCACAAACCCACATGCTCTCTGTGTTTCCTGGGTTCTTGTTTTTTTACAGCACAGAGCCTGTAGGCTCCTGCGCTTGCTGTTGCCTGTCCTCCCACCTCAGTCTCTCCTTCGCTGGGCTTATTGGATCTCAGGGCAGTCCTCACTGTCCCCATGGACACAAGGTGCTCTCTTCTCACTCTTCACTCCTGCTGCCACATATCCCCCATGGAAGCCTTGCTGGAGCCTCTGCCTGCTGGCACATGCCCACACGGAGGTGCACAACTTCCCATTCTGCTGCCACAAGTCCACCTAGCCCACACCTAGCATGCAGCCCCTCCCACTCCTACCACAGACTCACTTGCATCACCTCCATGTTTGCTGTTGGTCATTTGTGGTTAATTGGCAACCTTGGGGCCTCCTGGTTGATCTGAAGGCTGTCAGGATTCCCTCTTAAGAGCTGATGGCTGGAGCTCCAGAGCCCTTTGTCCCCTGGCTTCTGCAGCTGGTGTGTGGATGTTGTGGTTCTTTGTGTGCTGTGGTTCAGATCCCACCTCACTCTAGATGTTTGCAAAGACCTTCTCTCTCCCTCCCTCAGAAAACTGAGCCATGGGGCCCTCTACTCACCAGGAATCTCCTATACTGAAAACCAGCCATTTGACACCTTGCGATTTGTGTTTAGGGTCTTACTCTTTGCTGTTTCATGGTCATATATTTCTTCTTCTGTCAGCTCCACATCAAGGTGCTTCTTCATCTGTAGTTCACTCTTGGAATGTGAGCCACATGTATATAGAGGAAGCTCCTTTCTTCACCCCACACAATGCACCCAACACCACCAGAGAATCAATCTTTCATGCTCTCTGGTGTTTTGGTGATCTCGCTTTAGGAGTTAGGTTTCAGAATCTGCATGGATTTTTTTTAGGTCACAGTTTTATTGAGATGTAGTTCACATGCTACAAAGCCCACCTTAAGAGTAGGCAGCCCAGTGGTTTCAGCATATTCACAATCTGTGCCTTGGTCACCATTCTTACCTTTGGCTACCTACCCAGGCGTTCCCACCATCCAGCCAGGACCTCCCTGGCAGCTACTTCCTTTGACTGCCCAGCCCCAGGCAGCTGTTGGACCTGACTCTGAGTTCCCTGACCTGGATATGTTATTGCGTGGATCTATTTTTAACTTATCTACTATGTACTATTTATTAGTACACTTAAGAGTTTTATCACTAAGTCATTTTTTAATTCTCATTGATTGTTATGGTTGTGTAATATACTTACAGAATGTAAATATCCTAAGTGGATAATTTAATGAAATTTCACAAATTGAACTCTCCTGTGAAGCAAGATAAAGAAACATCAGCCACTGTAAACTGCCATTCAGCAATAACAGGGTGTGGGCTGAGGGCCTCTTCCCACCTCCCCTGTGTTCTAGTCTTCAGCACTCGCAGAGTGTCAGCTGAGGGCCTCTTTCTACCTTGAATTTGTTCTTTGGAGAGCTGCAGGTACATCTTTTTCTGCATGGCTTTCTAGTTGATCCACCACATTTTAAAGAGCTTGACTGATAGAAACATTTGAATTACCATGTAATGAAATTTGAATACAAATTATCCAATCCATAAGTATATCTGTTGAAGTCAGTATTTTAGTTTTATGAATCTAATGTATTCACATATTTTATCACTTGGAGTATGTTTAACTTTATTTATTTTTGTGTGTATGCACATTTGCTTGTGTGCACGTGTGTGTGTGTGTGTGTGTGTGTGTGTGTATGTATTTGTTTGGTTTTGGTGCTGGGGTTTGTACCCAGGGCCACTTTCCCATTGAGTTACATCCCAAGTCCTTTTTTAGTTTTAATTTTGAGACTGGGTATTACTAAATTACTGAGGGTCTTGCTAAGTTTCTGAGGCTGGCCTGAAACTTGTGATCCTTCTGCCTCAGTCTCACAAGTCAATGCGATTACGGGTGTGTGCCACCCACCCAGCTAAAATTGACATTGGTATCATAATACCTTGGCTAGTTAATTATAATTAATATTATAAAAACAAAAGGATTGTAAAATGTAGCACATTATATTGTTTTGTGTGATAGAATGGTGTAATAAATTAATACTGTGAATGCACAATATCTCAGCATGGAAAAAATAGTGTTGATTAACCACTGTGCTATTTAAACATGTAAAAACCTCATTGCTTTTATAAGGAAGTGGCTGCACAGGTGTGACTGTACCAGGAACAGCTTGCAGGCCCCCGTCTTCAGGTCTTAACAGTCTGATGGTGTGCATTTCCACTCCCACTGTACTGCGTTCCTTTGGCACAGGGAGGGCTATGTGAAGACATGGCTGCTCTCGGGTGTCATCCTCAACCACAGTGTGGACCCACTGCAAGGCCTGGGCCTTCACAGAGTGCCTGCACAGCTGGAGGGCTTCTCCTTTGGATCATCTCCCCTGGTTCCATCAGCGCAGGGACCTCTCACTTTCAGACGGGCACCCTGGAAAGCACAGGGTTCAGGCTCTGAAGTGCCATCTTGGGGTGGCTGTGGAAACTTCTGATTCAGTTTTTCTGAATTTATGGCATTCGTCAGCTTTTGTTTTAAAACTCAGTATTCACACCATTTACAGTTTCTATATAGTCTGAGGACTTTCTTATTTCTTTCTTTTTCCCTTTTTGTGGTGCTTATAAATTGAACCCAGGGCCTCATGCACTCTAGGCAAGTGCTCTAACCACTAAGCAACACTTCCACCCCCTATTTTTTTGGAGACAGGATCTCACTAAGGTGCCCAGGCTGGCCTCAAGCGTGTGACCCACCTGCCTCAGCCTCCTGAGGTGCTAGGTCCCGGACGTGGCCACAGCACCTGGCTGGATGCCTGCTTCCTGGGATCAGTGACTGTAACTGTGGGCTCTTCGAGGTCACTTCTTAGCCACGTACTTTACAGAAAGACAAAAGTGTGTCGCTGCAGCCTGGCATGCACTTACATGGCTGCCATCAGTGAAGAAGCCAAGTGCTTCTCACCTTCCTAGAAAGTCAGTGCCCCTGGCCAGCACAGTGGGCTCTTGTCAGCACACCTGGGTTTGGGGTTGTGTTTTAGGTTAGCACTTTACTAGGCATGAGCAGCACGCACCGGGGCACACGGAATTTGGGTGCAGCTCTGTGATTCTGACTGACTTGCCCCCACATATGGTGTCCATCATGGGGCCAAGAAAGGCCTACCCACCCACTTCCCACAGCCTGCATTCCTCATGGAGTGTGCAAATCCACACTCTGGTTTGGCTGCCAGAGTCACCTGTGAACGGGGTGCAGGGTGCCTTCAGGTGCCCAGTGCCCTCCCTGGAGGTGTGTTGTGGATGTCCCTGTGCTGCCTGTCCCTGACTCACTGCATTTGAACCTCGTTTATATCCTCCTGCTCACGTGAGATGCTGGGCATATGAGGTACAAGTCTTGTTTGTTTGTTTGTTTGTGGCACTGAGGATTGAACCCAGGGGCACTCAACTCTGAGCCACCTCCCCAGCCCTTTTTGTTTTTTATTTTGAGACAAGGTCTCACTAAGTTGCTTTGGGCCTCCTTAAGTTGCCAAGGCTGGCTTTGAACTTTCGATCCTCCTGCCTCAGCCTCCCAAGTCGCCGGGATTATAGGCGTGTGCCACTGCACCCAGCATTGTGCAAGTCTTAAAACAATCCCAAGGAGTGGGTATTGTAAATTCTAGCTGTTGGACAAGGGCACTGCAGCCTATATAAGTCACATACATGCACAGCTCACAGGTGTGGGCGGATTGAAACCTAGAAGCGTGTGTGATCCAGAGCTCACATGCTTTGACAGAATCCAGAGATATGATCTAGAGGTCTGCTGACTGGGTATGCAGTAGTGTCTAAATGGTGATTGTGGACCATTGCTGTGTTTCAAATGTGGTGTGGCCCCCAGAGGTCCTTGTGCTAGAATCTTGATCTCCAGTGTGGCTGCGTTGAGGTGGTAGAAACTTTAAGAGGCAGAACCTTAGGGCTAGGGATGTAGCTTAGTAGTAGAGTGCTTGCCTGGCCATGGATCCCCAGTACTGAAAAAAGAAAAGAAGAAGATGGGGCCTGCTGGGAGCTGCTTGGGCAGGGGCTGCATGCTCATGAATAGATCAAAGCTGTATGATGGGAGTTGCTTGGGTCTTGAGGAACAGGCTTGGGGGGGCTGGGGTTGTGGCTCTGTAGTAGAGCGCTTGCCTAGCACATGTGAGGCCCTGGGTTTGATCCTTAGCACCACATAAAAATTAATAAATAAAACAAAGAGGGCTTGGGACATAGCTCAGTTGGTAGAGTGCTTGCCTCTCATGCACAAGGCCCTGGGTTCAATCCCCAGCACTGCAAAAAAAAAAAAAAAAGTATTGCCATGTGCAATGGCACACGCCTGTAATCCCAGCAGCTTGGGAAGCTGAGACAGGAAGATCGCGTGAGTGCAAAGCCAGCCTCAGCAATGGCGAGTCTCACTAAGCAACTCAATGAGACTCTGTCTCTAAATAACAAAATAGGGACAGGGATGAGGTTCGGTGGTTGAGTGTCCCTGAGTTCTTCCCTGGTACACGTGTACACACACACACACACACACACACACACACAAAGGTGTGTGTCCATCTACAATAAAAAAAAATATAGATTGTGTAGAGCAAGATCACCCACACACTTGGTCCCTTCCACCCACAGCTTTGGTACTGTCTGCTGCTCTGCTGTGCTGTGACACAGCAAGGGAGCCCTCACTAGAGGCTGAGCACATGGGGCTGTCTGATCTTGGACTCCCAGCTTCCAAAACTGTGAGCTGGATGAGCTCCTTTGTTTTATAAAGTACCAGCCTCAGATGCTCTATTTCAGCAACACAACATGGACCAGGGCAGTCATGAGAAGACCATGGGCAAAGTGACCCTGCCCTTGAGAGGTCTGAGACTTGCTGCCAGGTGTGTGCTGTAGATGTTCAGGGTGCCCTCTGCCTCCCAAAACATGTTTGTACATGGGGGAAGGGTAAGCTGTGAGCTGAATCTCCCCTCTTTGTAGGGGGCCACAATGGGGCGACCTCAGACCTGGGGATGACTTGTGACCGTGCCAGGGTCTGGCTGCACTCAGACCTTCCTGGGAACTCCATGGCCAGCAAGGTAGGTCCCTGCCTCTCCTTTCTCACCCTTCGCCTGGGGCTTGCTCACTGGCACATGTCCTGGTTCTCCAAGGTGTCCTTTCTCTGGTGTCACCAGACTCTGTGGTGGGCCACCAAGCTAATCCCTCATGCACTTTTCCCCATCACATCTCTTCTGATGGCTGATCTCTTTGTTCTTCTTAAGTCCAAGAAAAACACGATGGGTGCAGAGGTTCCCTCTTCTCTCCTCCACTACTCAGAGTGTCGCTGGGACCCACATGGCTCCAGCGGGAAGACGGACGCTATCTTCCGAGCAGCCAAGGAGGACCTGCTCACCCTGATGAAGCTGGACGTGAGTGCAGCTTAGGGTGGTGGCCAGTCCTTGCCCACACAGCGCCTGCTTCCTGCCTCCCTCCTGGGGATATAGGCCCCTCAGGCTGCGTTGGGGGCTGCAGATCCTCTTGCCTGTAGCACTCCCCTCCCCGGGCAGGGGTCATGCCTATGGGTGTCCTTCATAAGGACCCACAGAATCACCTTATGGACATGCTGGCTCTGAGCAGCCCGAGCCAGCCCCTGCTGCCGCCCTGCCCCTCCCCAGCTCCAGTTCCCCCCAGTGGCTGCCTGCTCTAGTGTGCTGCTCAGTGGGGCAGTGTGGGAGTCCTCCATTGTGGCCTTTATGCTTTAGCTTTTTGTGCCTTTTTTATGAAACGCTTCCTCATCTGACATCATAAACCCTTTTCTATATTGTTGCCTAAAAGGTTTACTTACTTATTTTGCCTTCCTAGGTTTTAATGTGGTAGAGTTAATTTTCATGTCAATGCAAGGAAGGGCTAGGATTCGAGCCTGCCAGTGAAAGCCTGCTCTTTTGCTTCCTCCTGCGCCTGTCACCTGCACTGTATGGTTTGCTCTGCAGGGCGGGTATCAGGAGAAAGGGGAGGGAAGCCTCCTCCCTCTGTGCCTCTGGGCTCTTTCCTGGTTGTCTGCTCAGAGTGGGGGTTTTCCTTGAGTTTGGCCCCCTGCACCCATGGTTCAACACGGCATCCCTTCTGGCTCTGCGTTTGGGCCAACCTTGGAAGCTGAGGGAGGAGAGAACAGGAGCTCTCCCTGTCTGCTGGAGCTTGCTGCTGCATCCTCTGGTGGTGGGCTCTGCTCAGAGGGAGAGGGCTCAGGGTTCCTCTGTTGCCTCCTGCATCTTTTGGTGCTAAGGATTGAACCCAGGCCTGAAGCATGCTTCAGGTGAGATGCCCTTTGCATCAATCCTGAAGGCCTACTGGGGTTGTGCTCAGAGGGGGAGAGAGTGGGACGAAGAATTCCATGATCTGCTTCTCCCCTCCATGATCTCTTTGTCCTTGTCTTCCCAGTTTCACTGTGATAGAGCTTGGTCTGATTTCTTTTTATGGAGCTTGTGTGAACCTCATTGGGTTTATTCAGTCTGTGTCTGAGTCCCTTTCAAAAGCTGTCAGTGGCCTGGGGGGCAGCCCACGGTAGAGTACCTGCCTAGAACTCTTGAGGCCCTGGGTTCCATCTCCAGCACTGCAAAAAAGAAAGAAAGCAAGAAAAGCTGCCCACAGAGACTCCTCACGGCGGAGCCTGGAGAAGATATTCTCTTCTCTTTCATCTCCTTTGAGTTGGCCTCTCTTCTATATTTTCTATTTTTAAAAAAGTCTTTTTAATATGTAAATGTATTCATGTAAGTTCACTAAGTCTCTTCTTGCAGTATCTAAGTGATCTTAAAGCTATGCGTTGAGTTTTAAAATTTCATTATTTTCTGTAGTTCTAGAGTTTCTACATTTAAGAAAAGTCTGCTTCCACTATCATAGTGTTTAGTCTAGCCCACGCTGCATTTCAGATTTGGCTTTGTGTCGGGTAATGTCGCTGTATGTCAGTCTCTTCTGTTTTCTCCGAGTCTCTTCTGTTTTCTCCAGTCCCCACTAGCCCTTGCTTGGGGCCCTCTTTCTTGTTGGGCTCACTTTTAGAGACTACTTGGTACATAGAGCTGTGGGACTGGCCTATTGTCCCTGCGTGGCCATCTGCTTTGGCCTGTGCCCCTCCCATATGCCCAGCAGGTTCTGAAGACTTCAAGGATTGTCCTGAAAGACGAGCTGTTTTGCACATAACCACAGAGTCGTCATCCCTCCTGTACACACAGCAGTGATCCTTAACACCTTCAGTCACTTGGGCAGAGTCCAGATTTCCAGCCATCTGGTGTATGCTATGAGGACAGTAGAGTCCCCGGGCTGGCTGACCTGTCCCTTGGTCCTGGTGGACTCCCTCCCTGTCTGGCCTTCAGTTTAGGGCTACTGCTCCTCCTGTATACTCCAAGGTTCAGGGAAGGCTCCAGGCACCAAGCCTGCATCTGAGCCGGGGCTCGCAGCCTGGCCTTCTGGCTGGTCTTGGGCTGCTTAGGTTCCTTTCCTCCTGTCCTCCTGGCCTTGGGGAAATCATGTAGCAGATGTCCTGCTTTCCTTCAGGAGGCCTGTGATGTCAGATCTTTCTTTGTGGGGAAGTTAGCAGTCTTTGAGGCACAGGGAAGGACCCTTCACTGGCTTTGGAGGCTTGATTTTTAAATTTGTGGGTTTTTGTGGTACTGGGATCAAATCCTGAGACTTGCCTATGCTGAGCACATGCTCCAGTGCCAAGCTGCAGCCCCCACCCACTGGAGGGTGAGGTTAGTGATGTAGCCCCTGTTACCTAAAGGCAACCGATAAGCTTTCTTTTTACTTTTGTTCACTGAGACTGTGGATATGGAGTCTTCAGACCTCCCCAACCTCTGCCTGTATTGCTGAAGGCCTGTCCTGTGGGCTCCTAGGCACTCTAGACCCTTCCCCGTCACCTGGAGGCTATAGAGATTCTAGGCACTGATCGACATGTCCTCTGTGGGAGTTAGCCTCTGCAGGTGGTATGGGGAAGTGGCCTCACTCAGTTAATTACGTTCTGTAGTTGTTGGTTTGTTTTTGAGTTTGGGTCTTACTTTGCTGGGGCTGGTCTGGATTTGTGGGTACAAATGATCCTCCTATCTCAGCCTCCTGAGTAGCTGGGGCTACAAGTGCATGCCACCATACCTGGCAGTTTACTGGTTTTTACTGCAGAGGTGGGCTTGAAGTAAGTATGGAAGGACACTCCTCCATTATCTTTTATGCCAGTGATCTTTATGAAATTGATCGCACTTTCTTACTGAGATAAAATTCTCTCTCTAGAAATCCACAAAAACACTGGTCTCCATTCCTTTACTTTCTGCTGTCTTCCTCTGATCCTTTCTGCAAAATGCTCTTGTGTCTGTTGAGTTTGTGCTAGTGCAGTCTTGGAGGAGCGTTTTGTCTGGAATAGCCGAGTGGATGGCTACCTCTGGCCTGCACTGCATGGCCCCATCCTTAGTGCCTTCACTTGAGAGCCTCTGCATGCCCCTTGAAACCTGTTGTGTTTTTTAGGACCCATCCCTATTAGATGGCCGGGTAGAGTTTCTCCATGTCCCTGCAGGCACCGTGGTGTCAAGACAGGGAGACCAGGTGAGCCCAGGGGGTTTGTTGTGAGGATTGCCCAGCACTAGATGGAGCATGGAGGAGAGAGGCTGGACTGGGCGGCATCCAGCACTGGACCACTACCAGCTATCCTTGGGTAGCCCAGAGCCCGGGGGCAACCTCCTACTCAGATGGGGGAAGGGAGAGCAGATTTGGGAAGAGCCCCTTGCTGGATGCAGAGGAGCTGGGATTAGATCTCAGTGGTTTGTTGGACCAAAATGGGTGTGACAAGTGCCTGTGACAGAGGTGGGAGGGGCCAGGTGTTGGCCCACACGGGCTACTGAGGCAGGGCTGTACTTGCCCACCTCAGGTTTTACAGGGAGAGGTTGCATCTCCACTTCTGTAGGAAAATTGGGCTGACACATGTGGAGCAGTAAGTGGAAAGACAACAGGAGGGAAGGTACATGCATCTGCAACCCCAAAAGCTAGGTTTCCTGTGGCCCATCTAAACAATAAAATCAGCACTGCTGGAAGTCCCTCGTGGGGCATGGGCCCAGGGCTAGCTTGGTCCACAGATGATGCGAGGCAGCACCAGACAGAGAATCACCCTTATGCAGCTTCCTGGGGCTTGGCCAACCCCAGAGGAGCCTCCCCTGGGCCCTGGGCCCTGGGTCCTTGGGCCTCCCAGACCCTGCCCTGCATCCCTCTGAAGCTCCGGCCCCCTCTGGTTTTACCAGGATGTCAACATCTTGTTTGTGGTCTCGGGGCTGCTGCACGTGTACCAGCAGAAGATTGACAGCCAGGAGGATGCCTGCCTGTTCCTCACGCACCCTGGGGAGATGGTGGGCCAGCTGGCAGTGCTCACAGGAGAGCCCCTTACGTTCACCATCAGGGCCAACAGGGATTGCAGCTTCTTGTCCATCTCCAAGGCCCACTTCTATGAGTGAGTAATCCCCGCACCCCACTGTTCCCCCTCCCTCCTGCTCACTCGTCTGCCTCTGGGCCCTCTGCCCCTGAGGACTGTGCAGGGCAGGCTTGCTGGTCGTCCTTCGTGAGTTCTTGGAGCTGCTGCCATGCTGGGTGGTTGCATGTGTAGGTGCCAACAGCACCTTACCAGCCTGCGGAAACTGCCGTGTGCTGTCTTCTCTGCCTGTGGTGCTGACCCCACTGCCTTTTGTGCCGCTGCTTTTGCCTGCTCATGCTTAGACCAGTTTTGGCTACAGAGAGAGGGCCAAGGGAAAGAGTGGGTTGTGTTGTGCAGGCACCAGGCTGGACACCTTGCCCACCTGATCAGCATTCTGTGCTCCAGACCTAGTGATGTCCTCAGACTGCCTGGGAGTCCTGCATCATGTCCCTTACTAGCCAAGTCATCGGAAGGGCTGTCTGGCAGGGAGGCCGCTTTCTTCTGGATATGGTGGTACACAACTGTAATCCCAGCTACTCAAGAGGCTGAGGCAGGAGGATATAGCAAGTTTGAGGCCAGCCTAGGCAACTTAATGAGACCATCTCAAGATCAAAAGTTTTAAAAGGCTGGAGCTTATTGGTAGGGTGCTTGCCTAGCATGCTAAAGGCCCTGTGTTGTATCCCCAGCACTGAAAACAAAAAATAAACCAAAAACACACACACAAAAAACAACTATTTTCACTTCTGCCTTGCTGGGGTTTTGGTCCCTCAGGGTCCATGACACCCATTGTCTCTAACCAGCAGTGACCTTTTTTTAAAAAATATTTTTTGGTTGTAGATAGATACAGTACCTTAATTTTATTTATTTATATGTGGTGCTGAGGATGGAACCCAGTGCCTCAAAGATGCTAGGTGAGTGCTGTACCTCTGAGCCACAACCCCAGCCCATCAGCAGCTACCTTCTTGTGTACACTTCTGGGAGACTTCTGTCTCCCCATCTGCAGATGCCTGCTATGATCCTAGATCTCTTTGGCCAGATGATCAGGCGGAAAAGGAGATGTCAGGGGTCCTAAGATCAATGGAAGCCCAGCAGCTTAAAAACCAAGTCTCAGCCAAGTATGTTTCCAGAGCAGTGGTCCCCACTGTGCCGGAGGTGGTGGCTTTGGCCAAGCAAGACAACACCTGCCTGAGCAGTTGGTGGGCAGTTGGTTCCCAGGTCTGGCCTACACGCCCTGGTCTGGGACCCTGGTGCTGTGTCTTCATTTTACAGATAGGGAAATTGAGGCTCAGAGAGGTAGAAACCTGCACAAGTCCCTCTAGCCAGCCAGTTGGGTAGCTTGCTGCCCCCGATCTGCGCAGGCAATTGAACTTAAGATTGCTCATGTGAATTTTCAGAGACACCAAATAAAACACAGACACAAGTTACCTTTACACAAGCTTCAGGACAACTCCTCTGCTCTCAGCCTCAGGCTCCCCAAAATGGAGCGCAAGAGAAAGTCACGAGAGGCTGGCGAGAGAGAGTGAACACGTTCAGAAGTGGGCTTTTATTGGGGGGACTCTTGTTCTTTAGAAAGTTCCATCCAAAAAAGGCCAGAAGGGGCAGGGTTACAAGGGACCAGGTGAATGTAACTCAAACCTAGGGACGACACCTACACCTGAAGACCCGCCTTTACTATCCAAGCTGGACAATGCCCAAGTCATAATGAAATGTAGTAATTGGTCAGAGACGCCTGCTTCAGGACTGGGAGATGTGGGTTATTCAGAACACTCCCCACAGTGGCTTCCTCCTGAAGTGTATATATCTGTTTGTCTTAGACATGCAGACTCCCAGCCTGCTGCCCCTGTCCCCTGCCTACCTTGGGAAGAGGCTTGGGAAGGAAATCCAGGGCCTGGGCAGAGACCCAGCCTGACCCTGCTGTGCCTGTGTGTCTGTCTGTGGCCCTTTGTGTATTTCTTTGTGTGTGTGCCCGTGTGTTTGTATGTGCGTGTCTGCATGTAACGAGAACCCCTGATGCAGTCAGCTCCCATCCTGCAGGGTGGAATCCCCATCACTGGGCTTCATCCAACCCTGGGAGCAGATGCAAATGTCTTGCAATCTCCCTGGGATGTGGAAGGGGCTCCTGCCATCTGATGTGCAAGGCAGGTTCCTGTTCTGAGTCTTGGCAAGCGACAGCTCTGCCCAGGCATGTCCCCTCTCAGTGCAGGCAACCGTAGCCCATGAGCTGAACGCCACTCTCTGGAGCCACCAGGACACCCCTACTGCTACCCTGACCTCCCTAATCTGCCCAACACAGCCACCCAGTAGATGATGCTTCCTATATTGGCGCCTCCTTCCACCCTGCACCCACGTAGGAGGGGCCGCTTGCCCTGCAGGTGGCTGAGCCCACACAGTGTGTTGCTCTGGCAGATACCTACTCAGTTGTGGCACAGGGCCAGCTCCTGCCCCATCCTCAGAAACTTGCCACCTCCAGTGGGCCTCAGGCTCCTGGGTGTTGGATGGGGCTGTGGCTGCCTTCTCTCAAGCACTGTGTGAATGATGGAGTTGGTGGAATGGGGTAGGACAGAGAGGTGGGGCAATGGGAGTAAGAGAGTGACCATGGCTACCTGGCAGGATCATGCGGAAGCAGCCGTCAGTTGTCCTGGCCGTGGCACACACTGTAGTGAAGAGGATGTCGTCCTTCGTGCGGCAGATTGATTTCGCGCTGGACTGGATGGAGGTAGAGGCTGGGCGTGCCATATACAGGTGAGGCCTGAAGGTGTGCTGTGTACAGGGAGGTTCTCAGGCATCTTCCTTTTCCTATGGGTGTCCCTCTTGTTTGTACTGGAAGTGATGCCTAATAGCCCCAGCTTGCTTCCTGAGGAGACTGCACACTGCAGGTACTCACCCTCCAGGTACCCACAGATGTGCCTTTCACAGGTGTGTCACGGGCGGGCATCCTGGGCTCCCCAGGCACAGCATATTCCTCCTGGATGACTTTCCAGGCTATACATGAGCCCATGTTCTTTAAAACTGCACACAGCCTGTGGCTCAGGGTGCTGTGGCTGACTGCTCTCGGGTCCTCTGCGAGCCTCTCTAGGCTGCCCTGGAATCCACCATAGACAACTTCCCACTCACCCTGGTCTCAGACAAACCTGGGTTATTGCTCTCAACTTCTGTGGGGTTTAAAATGTAAAGTAAGGAAACAAAAAATATTTAGACCTAATAGTGAATTCGTGTGTTAACACAAATATTTTTTAATGAAAAAATAACTATATTTTCCAAAACAAAAAACTTTCCTGAGAAGACTGTTATTTAATTTTTTTGCAACCCTGGGGTCCATTTGGCTTTTGGGAAGCTGGGCCTGGAAGCAGCTAAGAGTGGCAGGCTGCGGACCTCCAGGGCCTCTGTGTCTCTGCAGGCAGGGAGATAAGTCTGACTGCACATACATCGTCCTGAGTGGTCGACTGCGCTCTGTCATCTGCAAGGATGATGGGAAAAAGCGCCTGGCAGGGGAGTATGGCCGTGGAGACCTCGTTGGTGTGGTAGGTGCTGGGCTCCCCTGCATTTGAGACTCTGGATTGGCCTGGTTGATACCCTGTGCAGGAGGAGCCCCTGAAGCGGCTACAGGAGGGCAATGCTCCCCATAGCTGGTTGGCTCTGAGCCCTGGCTCTCTGGGATCACATTTGTGGTATGCTTCTGCCTTCTGGGTGTCTCAGAGTACTGCTCCCTGGTTTGGGGTTCTCACTTGCTTCCCAGCTGGTACTGGAGCCCTGGGTGGTGAGTTGTGACCTCTGAGTCACCTCCCAAAGGTTTCTATTAAGAGTGACTAAGAACTCATTCAGGCCTTTCAGGGCCACCTGGCACAGGCAGGTCTCTTCATCCTGAACTGCTGCTGGCCAGCCCTAGGCTGCTGCAGCAGTGAGCTTCTGGGTCTCTAGAAGGAGAGTGGACCAGGCCAGGCTTCTTACAGCTTGGGGCTTCTGGGTTTTTTTTAGGTTTTAAACCAGTGGTCAGGGAAGCCCAGAGGCATGTGCTGCAGGGTCTTAAGGCAAAAGGTGCCTTGGAGGATGTGGGCCAATGCCTGATTCCTGCTGTGCAACCCTATGCCCATGAAGCTCCTAGCCACCTCTCTGAACTCTGCCTGGGCAGTACATCTCCCACATCAGAGTCCAGGGCTTCCTCTCGCTCAGCTGACACTAGCCTTGCGGGGGCTGTGCCTCATGCAGCCCAGCTGCCATTTCTCAGGTGAAAGTTGGTGTGCCTGGCAAGATGCCGCAAAGGAACTGTCATGCCTGGCAGCAGGCTCTATACGCTCTAAGGGGCATACCTTATGGCCTCCTCCTAGGGATATGGTTCCTCTCCAAAGGTGTTCATTTCTTTCTTTTTCTTTCTTTCTTTCTTTTTTTGGTTATAGATGGACATAGTACCTTTTATTGATTGATTGATTAGCACTGGGGATTGAACCCAGGGCCTTGTGCATGCAAGGCAAGCACTCTACCAACTGAGCTTTATCCCTAGCCCCTTATTTATTTATTTTTAGGTGGTGTTGAGGATCAAACCCAGTGCCTCACACATGCTAGACAAGCTACAGCCACAGCTGTTCATTTCTGAGGGAGTGTGCTGACTACCCTTTGCCAGACTATGACCCCAGCTAGTGCCTGAGACCTGTTCCAGTGCCCTTGGGCTGCTGGCTTCCGGCACATGCCTGTGGTTCTGGCAGCAGAACCTGTGAGAGCTCACTGGAGGCTTGGTGAGGCCATTTTGTCTCCTCCCTGGTTCCAGCACCCTGTGGCTACATGTCTCTCTCATGGGCAGCTGTCCACATGAGCACCACTTACACTGGGCTAGGCTCCAGGTAGGCCTGAGCAGTGTGGCTTCAGTACCTGGCTCCTCTTCCTCAGGTGGAGACGCTGACCCATCAGGCCAGGGCAACCACGGTGCATGCTGTTCGGGACTCAGAACTGGCCAAGCTGCCTGCAGGAGCCCTGACGTCTATCAAGCGCAGATATCCACAGGTAAAGGTGGTACAGGGCCCCTGTTGCATTTGCCTTGAGGCCAGATGATTATTTAATCAAGTGCAGACAGATCTGACCTGGAGCAGCAGGTGGGATGGCATGAGGAAAGTGATAGGAAGGCATGTCTGTGGGGCTGGGGCTCTCACCAGGCAGCTTTGGGCAGGTGGGGTGGGGCTTGGAGAGGGTAGGTAGAGTTTGCAGCCCCACAGCCCTGCAGCATAGTGAGGGCACTTGCGCTGCACCTCAGGGAGGTGTCATAGCTGCTTGTTCTGGTTGTCTTCCCTATATGTGAGTCATGAGGATATCAGACATGGAGAGAACCTGACCTCAGATTCAGAGCTGACCAGAGGCAGTAGCAAGGGAGTACTAGGTGCCTGGCCACTGAGAAGCTACATTTAGATCTGTGATCTTCAACCAGCTATGAAGTATGTGCCAAGTCAGTCTGTCCATTCCAGAGCAAATGGTAAGGCCGGGAGGGTGTGGCCCTCCACTTCCTAGGGCCTCGCCCCAGGCCACCCCACCTGCCCAAGCCAGGGCCTCTCCCTCACCTGGGGCTTGCCAGAGGGTCCTGTCTGCCCTATTCCCAACTGGTACTCCTGCCAGATGGTAGCTTATATAGTGACCTGGACTTGAATCCCCAGGGGCCTCAGGCAGCAACCATGACCAGGGATACTATAGTTGTCCGTTTAAGGATGAGTAAGCATTGGCCAGTCAGGATGAACTGATGGCCCATCCACGGAAGAGGGTGGTCACTGCTATCCTGGATGGTGGCTCCTGTCAGCATGGCCATGCAACCCTATTGTACCCCATGCACAACTGGGGTCCCAAGCCAGAGACAGCAGGCTGCCTTGGCCACTGGCTGACTCCTCTGTGACTGCTCCCTGGTGGCCTGAATATACTCACAACCACTCCCGTGGGTCCATGGCCTTCCCCATCTCCTTGTCTCTGGCCTTCTGGCCTTGCTGCTCCTCACAGTAGGCCATGGCTGTCTGCTTTTGCTCTTGCCCACACCTAGGCTGCATACTGCTGGGTTGCCTTCGTCTTCTGTGGCCAAGCTGAGCCTCAGCAGCCCCTGAGAGTGTGTAAGCTGGCAGGGGTCCATGCAGTCCTGAGAACCCCAGTGCCTCTTCCCTGGTCTATAGCAGCATCCCCTTCATAATGGTGGGCTCTCCCCTTGGGCTATGTCTTGTTCATGGGGAAGGGCCCTCAGCCTTCCACCACAGGAAGCCCCTTGGTGAGGTGCTTCCATCAGCCCCCTGCACTCGCCCTCAAAAATCGTCCCAGGATCTCCTGCATGTGACCTAGCACAGAGCACAGCCTTCTGTATGGCTTCTCCACTGTGCACCCCACTGGTCCCTTCTTCAACTGAGAGGTGTTGGATGTTTCCAGTTTGAGCTAAGCCCAGCCTCACATAGTGGTGGTGAGAGTCAGTGGGGACAATGCTCTCTTTCTCTTGAGGAACTGCTGGGTCACAGTGGAGGTGTGTGTTGGGGAACTGCAGACAGCTCTCCACTGCTGCTGTGTGCTTTGCAGCCTGTGTGGTGGGGCCCGAGCCTTGCTGTCCATGCCACACCAGCACAATGTGGGCGGAAAGTGGGTGTTCACTGTGGTATGGATTCGCATCTCCCAGTAACTGAAGATGCTGGTACCCGTTCACAGACTTATTGGCCTGTTTTGAGCCTTTGTCACTTGATACAGAAATAATCTTTTTTAAGGTCTGGAGATATAGCTCAGTTGGCAGAGTGCTTGCCTCGCATGCACAAGTCCCTGGGATCAATCCCCAGCACCAAAAAAAAAAAAAAAAAAAAGAAAGAAAGAATCTTTTTTAAAATCAGCTTTCACTTTGAATTATTGTTGTGACAATTTTTAATTGTGACAATTATGGTTGTTTTTAAAGGCTCTTATGTTTTAGAGAACCATATTCAGTTATTAATGTTTGTGTATCATGAAATGCTTTGCTTGGGACTGGCTTCCAAACCATCCAGGAGTGTGTGTTTCTTGTGGCTGCTGGAATTGGGGAGAGACCAGGGTAGAGAGCAAGTTTTATTTAAGAAAGTGGTAGACACTAGAGATGGACTCCTCCGGAGAGTGAGAGTCTGGAGGGGGTGCTACTTGCTTTCTTATAGGCCCTAGAATCCCCCACCTTTAATCACTGTCTTCTCTTCTTCCCCTACACATGACGGGGAGCAGGAGCGCAGAGGTTAATTGTTAGCAGCCCAGAGTGGTGAGGAGCACAGTCAAGGAGGGTAACCCTGAGCAACCCATTGTTCTGATAACCCTCTTGACCCCCATCATTCATTACCTACATGGTCCTCACCCTCTTAATCCCTATCATTCACTACCTACACAGACTGCCTGACCTTTGCCCCTGTCTCCATAATAGGAATCCTGAAATTCCAGTGCTCTGGAGGTCTAGGCAGAAGGATCGAAAATTCAAGCCCAGCCTTGGCAATTTAGCAAAACTCTGTCTCAAAAGAAAAAGGACTGGGGTGTAACTCAGCAGTAGAGCGTTTGTGGGTTCAATCCCCAGCACCAATAAATAAATAAATAAATGATATATTGTGATAATTTTCATTTGTCAATTTAAAATTAATTCTTACAGAAAAGTTGTAGATATTTTGACATTCAGTCCTTAAATACACTAGTCTACAACATTAAAAATGTTAATATTAATATAACCCCAAATAACTATCGTGTCTAAAATGTAGTAATTACTGGGCATCATCATATATCAGTCCACATCCCCATCTGTCCCCCTGGAGTGGGACGTCCATGCAGGAGCAGATTGCACCTGACCAAGATGAGCCTGCAGTTCAGGAGGCCCTGGCAGTCGATCCTCATCCTGCCCTGAGATCAGGGCAGCTGCCTTGGGGTGTCTGCCTGTTCTAGAGCAGGCTTGGGATCACAGGGGATATGCCTCTTTCACCTGCTGCCCCTGGCTCCCAGGGCTGTCCTCAGAGTGAACTGCTTCTCTGGCAACTAGAAGGATAATGGTCTGCAGAAGGGAGCCACTGGTCATCCCTGGTTGACGGTGATTTCCAGTCTGTGACAGTTTTCGAAAGGGCCTGAGGCCTGATTCGAGCATCACTGTGCAGTCTTTAGTTGCCAGCTTTCCCTGTTAAAAATATGTTGTTTGAGGTTTCTCATCTTTCTGTGCCCCTAGGTGGTGACTCGGTTGATTCGTCTCTTGGGAGAGAAGATCCTGGGAAACCTCCAGCAGGGATCTGTGACAGGTGGGTGTGCCCCACACAGTGGTGTTAGAGACCTGCCTCAAGGGCCCTTCCTGCTTCCCTACCCACTCTGGGCACAGCCCCTCCCTGCCTCAGAGCCCAGCCCTGTGCAGCCTTAGGCCCCTACAGAGCCCACTCACCAAACACAGTCCCACACTGGACCACACAGACTGCAGGGCTGCCCAAACCTCCAGGAAGGCTGCAGAGCTCCCACCAGTGTGACTGAAGAGGGTGGGTAGAGTTAGTGTGCTTAGGCTTTGGCAGTGACAGAAAATTTTGCTGAAATATGTTTCAATGTGGGCAGCAGTGAGGGAAGCTCCACTGTGTGTGGAAAGAATTGGGATGTACCTTCCTCCTATTTTTGTTAGCCCATTAAAAAAAGGAAACAGGGTGAAGCTCCAGGGAGTGGGCTAGTTGGAGGCTGCTTTCTGTCCTATGCCAAGCGTGGAAAGATGGTGAAAGGACTCCAGCTTATTTTCCTCTCCTATCTCTGAGCATGTGCTTTTTTGAGGAGCCACTGTTGGCTTTAGTTTCTGGGGCTGTTCCCTTTCCCTGGACTCTAGACATTGAGAACTGGGGTGTTGCCCTTTAGCTCTTCTTTGGTCAACAGACTTGCCTCAGGGCTTCTCCCTCTTCTGTGCACACCAGGCACATGGTCCTCACCTGCCTGCCCTCACCTCCCTGCCCCCTGCCTGGAGCACACCCCTCTGCATTCCTGAGCCCAATGCTCAGCACAACCTCCTGACCTCCCCATCAATGCCTGCTGTTCTCAGTCCTCCTTCTCCACCAGTTTTCCTAGCTGGCTTGTCCGTGGGCTCTGCCTGCACTGTCCCATGAGCTGCATGATGGCAGAGATTATGTCTTGAACCACTGCTGTGGCTTGTGCACAGTACTGTGTGTATGAAAGGGATAAGCCAGTGGAAAGGTATGTTGCACAGAGGCAGCAAGAGTGATGGTGTGGTCCACTTCAGGCTGACCTCACCCTCATCTGATCACATCTCTAAAGCTCTGTTTCCAATAAAGTCACACTCCGAGGTTCCATTTGACTGAATGTGGGAGGCATGAGGCATGTTCAGCTGGGGAGGGACCAATCTGTTTGAAGTCAGTTTCTCATAGGGAGCATATCATTGGATCCTGTTCTTGTCATCCCTTCTTATGGTCTTCACCTTTTGGTTTGTGTGTTTTGACCATTTATAGCTAATGTAATTATTTAATCAGTATTTATTTTTCCCATTTTGTAAATTTTCCTATTCCCCCCATCCCTCACTGTTGCGTTGCATTCCATGACTAAAACACTCAGGGTCATTCCAGGTGAACTGGGCTGCACGAAATAATCACACAGAGACAGATAAATAACTTTTTCTTTGGGTCCTGTGATGGCTCTCTGACCATAGGGGTCCTTAGAGAGAGAGCGAGAGAGAGCACACACACGTACCCTTTTATTGGGAAGAAGCCATTTAAATGAGGCAAGAGGTCAGGTTTCAAGGGGGTTGAGTCTAGCTTCCTGATGTCTGCTGTCAGCAGGTTGACTGACATCTAGGGAGGCCACACCCATCTCATGAGCTGTGTGGAGATCATGGTAGGGTGAGTGAAGAGACCAGAGAGAGGCCTTCCCCAAAACAGGGACCATGTCGGTTCCTCCACCCTGTACACTCAGTGCCTACAGTTCACACCCACACAGCCCAGGGCTGGCTGGCCATATCTCCACACTCTCATCACTCAGGACTAACGGGCACTCATTTCCTATGTGGCAGCTCCTGGCACCCCACCTTTAGTTTAAATCTGATTGATTAATTTTTTTTGAGACATGATCTCACTGATTTGGCAGGCTGGACTTCAGCTGGCATGTTTCCTGCTTTAGCCTCCTGAGTCACTAGGATCACAGGCATGTGCCATCACACCCAGCGTGGCCCTTTTAAGCATCCAGTTTTTACTTGTCCCTGGCTCTTCAATGATAGTTTCAGTGGTCACTCTGGGCATCACAATACCTATGTTCACCTCACTGTTGACTTGTCTATTACTACCAGCATTGTTCCACCAAGTGTAATCAGAGCACCTCATCCCTGTCTGGATCACATTAACTTTCCTGTTACACTATGTTGTCTTACTACCTCTACATCATCGAGAGCCCTTCAACCCGTGCTCACTTTTGCTTTCACTCATCAAACCTCATTTTGAATCTAAAGGGAACAGTGTGTGATACTTGGCTACTCTCCTGCACCCTGGTGGGGGTCTGTAGGGGCAGTTCCCCCTGTGGAAGGGCCTCTCTTAGCAGTTATTTTGGAGCAAGTGAATGGTCAGGACTTTTCTTTGTTTCCATCCATGTGTAGCTGTCTTACCTCACCTTCATCTCAAGGGGTGTTTAGCTAGATGTAGCATTCTGATTTGATGGTCCCTGTGACTCAGCACTTTAAAAACTTTGTCTCATGTCCTTTGAGTGATGACACTCAGAATTAAAGAAGCATTAAAAAGATCTCTAATTCTAGAATATTTTGGATTTTCAGATCAGGGGTGCTTAACCGGTAGTCCATCAAATGTCCCCAAACCTGAATAAGTCCCAAATCTGAAACACTTCTCACCCCAACATTGTAAATAAGCCACACTGTGAGAAACATGGTCACCTGTCCAAGCCCAAAGCATGGACTCCAGAACACAGGAACAGCAAAAGGCCAGGCTTTACTGATGGTCTTGTGAGATCGGGTATCTGGGGAGCAGGTACACACTTAAAACCAGCACTTTATCCCAGAGAGTGCAAGTTCCCCCCCCGGTTCCTCATTGGCTAAGTGCTGTGGGGTGCACACTCTTCCTAGTGTCGTCACCTAGGTTTTATTGTCTCCTATTGGGCTGTTTAAAGAAATGTCCCCACCTCCCTCTGCTCTCTTATGGCAGGGGAGTCCCCTTGGGTGGAGTGCATTTTGGCACGTATGCAGTTATTTCTGTTGGTCGGGGGCCCCTCCCTCAGCTGTCTGTCAAGGGGCTGGGAATCTTTACCCTCCATGTTACCTGCCTGTAATGTCCATCCTGCCCTCCCACCACCCCTGTCCTTCACCCCCAGCCATTTTACATTGGAGCCAAATGCTGTGTTCTGAAAATGGACCACCAGACTTTCTAGTTCTCACTCAACCTGGCTTTAAATTGTTCCCAAATAGGTAAGGTGTTAATTCTTTCTATCCATGTTCAAGAATTTTTTTTTGCTTTTAATTTTTGTAAATTGGATTTTGAACTGTCTAGGCGTGAATATCTTTGGGTGTATCCTGTTGGGGTTATCACATCTTAAGTTAGTAGGTTTTTACTTATGCTAAATTTAGGAAGGTTTTAGCCTTTATTTCTTAAAACCTTTTTTCAACCTTGAATCTTTCTCTTCTTCTGAAAGCATAAGGACTTCCAGGCCAGAGCTTTTGTCATTACCCCCTGGGTCTCTCTCTTTGATGTCTGGCAGAATGTTCTTTTGGTCTGCCCTGGGTCCCTTCTTCTTTCCTCTGTCTCCTTGCCCTGCTGGAGGCTGTGGGAGGGCTCTGGTTTCGGTCTGTTTGTGGAGTGCTGGTGATCACTGGTCTAGCTGCCTTCTTGTCCCTGTCACATGATTCCAGCGTCTGAGACAAGTGGCTATTTTGTCTGCTGGTGCACTTTTCTTATTCTAGTCCAGGTTTTCCTTGCTCTTGGTACACCTGGTGATCTGGACCATGCCCTGCTGGGTTTTGAGTGCTTTGTTCCCATTTAAACCTTGTATTTCAGCAGACGACACTGCGCCTGCAGCTCATGTCCTGGCCCACTTTTCTGGACTGTGGTCTGATGTTAGCCAACCCCAAGGCCTTGCAGTGCTGCTCTGTCTGCCCTGTCCTGTGCTCACAGAACCAGCATAAAAGCTGCTAGCCATGTGCACCATCTAAGCTCTCAGTGCCTCTGGAGGACTGCAGCTGGTGCCTGCATGGCCAGGCCTATACACGCCAGTCTGAAGAGTTCCTCTCTACCTTTCCCACCTTTGGTTCAGGGCAGGGTTGGCTGTGGTGAGCTGCTGGGACCAGATGTTTGCTGGTGCTGAGTGTTGACCAGTCTCTCAGGAGGTGGCCAGGTCACTTGTGACAGCCAGGTAGTGTGTGCCTGTTTTACCTCCCTTTGGGCCAGAGCCAGAACTTGACAAGTACCTTGCTTAAAGACTAAGAAACTGCTACACAAAGCTAATGTTGGAGCCCCCTTCAGTTCTATACAAAAATGGGGGGGGGGGGTTCTGATATCTGAGGTTCCTGGGAAGGAGGAAAGGAAGGGCTTCCCTGAGAAATGCTGATGTCGAATGATTCTGTGAGACCAGACCGAGAGCAAGGTCCAGCCTGGGGTGGAGGCTCTTCTCCATTTCTGCTCAGTGGTACTTCTGGCAGGGGGCTGTGGATGTTTAAAATCACTTATCAGGTATCTCTTTTATCCTGAGGATGGCAGACTTTCCACTTGGCATTTGGAAGCATCAGTGTAGACTCTAGGATAGTCTCAGTACCCAGTGCCTCCTTGTGGGGGCTGTGTGTCATGGCCAGCTGTCTGGGGGACCTGCCTACTGAGCTGAGGGGTGGAGGTGGGTAGGATACAACCTCACAGGGTGGGACATCACAGTGGGGAGTGTGGCCTCAGAGGGAGACCATCAGGTACCCGAGACCTGCTGCACAGAGGGGCCTCCCGGGCCTGGGTTTTTGTGGTAGGAGCTGGACCTGTAGGTACATGGAGAAGTCAGGCTGAGCTCTATGGTCAGATGGCAGGTGTGGATGAGGCTGGGTCCACCGGGAGGAGCAGATCCAAGAGGAAAACGTGTGACAAGCCTTGCTTTGCTTCACTTTCTTGTTCACTGTTGCACAGTTTATCACTAAAGTTGTATAGGCTTATAACACACCCGTCTGAGGACAGAGCCCTGTAGGCGAGGAGCAGATGCAGCCCACGCTGCTGGGGTCTCCCACCCTTTCTTACAGGGCCCTCTAGTATGTGCTCTGGGAGGATGCCCTGCTGGACAGCTGATTAACACGCCTGCTCCAGGGCTTGGGTCTCTTCCCAGGGGCCAGCAAACTCTGTGGCTGACACTGCCCAGCACTGGGCTCCCTCCCCGGAATGCTCATCTCTCCCTGTGGCCTGAGAGTGGACGACCCTCCATACCTTGAGCATTGCTGAGCATGGCTCCTTGGCAGAAGCTGGGTGCCGCCTGTGAGCTGCTGGGAACATGGCTCTGGGCTTTGCAGCCTCACAGCAGAAACAGGCAGAGGATTGAGCCTTCACAGTCTGCACAGCACCCCTTCCTTCATGCAGTGGGAAAGCACTGTGGCCAACTGGGTGGTACTGCTGAGGGGCCAGTCAGAGAAGAGCACATTCTGGAGGTGTTGGTGGAGTCAGGAGAGAGATGAGCCATGGAAGAGGGCATGACAGGGTGCAGAGCAGGTAGGTAGGGGTTCTGGAAATTATGTGCAGATGAAAGGTAACATGCCTGCTAACCTCCCAGGCTCATGCTGCTTCTAGAGTGAGGGGTGGAACGTTCCAGCAGGAGCCCGTCTAAAGGCTGAATCCCCTGTTCTGGCAGAACAGGACACCTGCCTGAGTTTATTCTTTTCTAAAGCCTACTGCTCCCGGAATCTCCAAGCCTTGAGGTCAGGGTGGGCTCCTTCCTCAGCCAGTGCCAGGAGTACATCAGTCCTTGTGTTGAACCAGGGGCTGATCGTCCTTGGGAAGACCCAGAGCAGACCCTGGTCCTGGCTGGTGCCTGTGTCGTTTGGAGACACTAAGGCTGTCCCAGCTGTGGCCTCCTAGGCTGACGCTGCACTCTGCTCCACAGGCCACCAGCTTGGGCTCCACACAACAGGCAGCAAGTGGGACATAGGTAGCCCAGCTGGCAACCTGTCCACCGTGGCTGCGATGCCCGTGTCTGAGGACGTGCCACTTACCACCTTTGCACTGGAGCTCCAGCATGCCCTCAGTGCCATTGGTAAGCTTATACAGAGAGAGGGGTCCACCTCAAGCTGGGGAGGGCTCTGCCTCAAGGGGACCTTCATTGAAGACTCAGCTCCCCAGGTCGGGGCAGGCACAGTGGTACAGGAGCATGTGACAGTAGGATGCCATGGAAGTCCTCAGCACAGACCCCAGGATGCCTTCCTTGTCCCCCACAACCCCCCATCTCTGGGAGGAGACACTGTGGTGGGTGGCAGGGAGCTGACTGACTGTGGAAAACGCCCTTGATTGGGCTCAGGTAGCTTGGCTGCTCAGGACAAATCTACCACTCTTCAGCCAGCACTGGGGGTCTGTCATACCTGGGATGGAATCCAGGGACCATTGTCCTTCAGAAACAGGCAAATTCCTAACAGCTGGTGAATTTGGGGACTCAAGAAAGGGAGAATGCAAATTTCCAAGAACTCCTGGAAATTTCCAGATTTATAAGGTACTCCATGTTGTTGTGTTCTCCTTGGCACTGTTTTTTGTTTGTTTGGTTTTTGGTGCTGGGGATGGAACCCAGGGCCTTGCCATGCTAGCCAAGTTTCTACCATGGAGCCGTGCCCAAGCCTTTTTATTTTTTGAGACAGGGACTCAATTAAGTTGCTGACACTGGCCTCAGGCTTGCAGTCCTGGAGCCTGTGTCTCCCAGGTCACTGGGGTTACAGGAGTGACCATGATGCTTGGCTTCTTCTAAGTTTTTATGTGATCGTGGTGACCACAATGATACGAAGTCAATTATCTGTGGTGGGATTAAACTGAAAGTTACAGGGTTGTTTCTGCAAGAAGATATAATAATAAACCCCATCAGGATTGTTTGATTACCATAAAATAATATATTGTGACTACATTGTATCTATTTCAATACTGTGCAGAAATGCTGTCTGCCTGGTACAGACTTTAATTATAGAACACATTAAGTAAATGCCAGCAGAAACATCTATAGGATGCCACTTTAAATATCTAATATCTAAAAGTTATTCTCAAAGTGAACTTTTAAAAATTATTCTTATTTTTTCAAAATGAAGAATTTAAACACATAAACAAGAACTGCCTTGTCTTAATAGTCTTGATTTCTGCCTCACCAGTGTTGTGGATGTGTGTAGGAAGTCCTGTCTTTTCCAGTAGATTGATCAGGTTGCTCAGAATGCAGCTAGACTGTCTTCAGGTTGCACATGGAATGTGTTGCTTCGGGAAAGCACATTCCTTTTTTAAAAAAGCTTTTATTTTACAATCATTATAGATTCACAAGAAATGGCAAAATGGCACGGTAAGATCCCACATACTTGTTGCCAACGTCCCCCAGTGGTAACACCATACATAATGGCATAGTTATGTTTCTGTCGCTCTGAGAAAAATACCTGATAAAATTAACTTAAAAGAGTAAAGATTTATTTTGGTTCATGATATAGAGGTCTCAGCGCATGATCACTGGCTCTTTTGTTTCTGGGCCTGTGGTGAGGCAGAAAGAAGGTCGTGTCAGGGAGCACATGAGAGCAGAGCGCTCACCCCGCGGTGGCCAGAAAGCAGAGGAGAGCTCACGCTATAGCAAAGCTCTTCCCCAAGCTCATGGATTGTGAGCCCATCACGGTGCTCATCTCCTGTGGGCTCGGAGGCCTTGAGATCCCTTCGTCTCCCAAAGGCCCCACCTCGGCTCACGGCCTCACTCAGCACCTGAGCCTCTCCAGGGCCAGGAGGCTGGCGTTCGTGAGCTCCATGGTCGGATTCGTGTCTCTGCAGAGTGCTGCAGCAGTGCCAGTCTGCTGGTCACTGAGGAGACCCTTTGGGCTGCCCCCATTCTCTGGTCACCTTGCTCACTGGCCTCCCCTGCCCTGCCTTTCTGAAGTTTTGTTATAAAAATGGAACTCTTCAGCATGTGGCCTTTGAGATCAGCTTTCTTTCTCTTGTGAGAACTGTCCATTGTGTGGATGCTCCAGTTTCTTTAGCCATTCCACAGAAGGCTGTGCGGTGATGTGTCCAGTTCAGGGGTATTTTGAATAAAGCTACTGGGACCACTTGCTAACAGCTTGCGTGTGCAGGTGAGCTTTCCTTTCTGCAGGATAAATGCCCAGGAGCGTGAGGGGTACCCTGAGTATGTTCCATTGTGTGCCCAGATGGCTGCGCCGTCCTGCATCCCATCAGCAGGGACAGGAACCTGCATCTTTGCTAGCCTTGAGGTTGCCCTGCTGCTCGTCTCAGCCCTTCTCCCAGGCGCGTGGCTTCTCCCTGGCAGGTAGTGATGCTGAGTACTTTCTATGTGCTTATTTGCTGTCTCTGTGTCCTCTCTGGTGAGGTGTCTGTTCATCTTTTCTTCTTACTTGCTCTTTCCTCCCTCTCTCTACTTTCTTTCCCAGATCCGGGGGTGGAGCCCAGGGCTCTGCTGTGTTAGGCAAACACTGCCACTGAGCAGCACCCCAGTCCCTTTTGCTTATTTTCTAATTGAGGCTGTGGAATGGGGGATGGAACTCCTACCCCTTTTAAATAGAGTTTGGTTTTTGTATGAGTTTTAGGTTCACAGCAAAATCAAGAGGAAGGCACAGCCTGCCCCACTTTCAGCACCCCCATAGACTTGGATCTTGTCACGTGACCACTGTCCGGAGCACATGGCCCACACAGGGCTTGCACTTGGTGGATCCTGTGTGCCCCCATTGTTGTGTCTGTGTCCTCGGGATGGGCTCACTGCCCCATGCACCCTCTGTGCTTTGCCTACTGATTCGTCCTACCCAAAGGCCTGGCAGCCAATCGTCTTTCCACTGTCCACCCAGTGTCGCCTCTTAGGTGGGTCACATGTGACCCTCTTGGCACCTTTTGGCTAGTGGTATGCATTTATGTTGCCTTATGTCTTGATGGCCTGATAGTTCATGTCTCTTCGGTGTGATCGGTGTCCCACTGCCTGTTTATGCATTCACCTCCTCAAGGGCAGCTCGGCTGCTTCTAGGTTTTGCAACTATGATAAAGCTGCCGTAGACACCCATGCACAGGGTTGGTGTGGGCATGTTCTCAGCTCCTTGGTGTAAATACTGAGGAGTGTGACTGCTGGATCATTGTTTTGTAAGCAGAACCAACTGTCTTTTCTGAGTAGCTGTGCTACTTTGCATCCCCCCTGCAGAGAGTGCAGGTCTGCGCCAGCACGTGGAGTGCCAGGGTTAGTTCTGGGCCACTCTGGTTGTGTCCCTGCATTTCTCTCTGACACACCACATTGGTGTTTTTCATGTGCTTACTTTTCATCTGTAGTTCTACTTGGTGTGTTAGTCAGGTTTTGCTTCATTGTGACCAAGAGAGCCAACAAGAACGACTTAGAAGAGGAAAAGTTTATTTTGACTCATGTTTCAGAGGTCTCAGTCCATAGATGGCTGACTCCACTGCTCTGGGCCCAAGGTGAGAAGGTGGAAGGATGTGGTGGTGAAGGAAAGCTGTTCAGCTTGTGGCAGCCAGGCTACAGGGGGTGGGTGAGGGAAAGGGCCAGGGGCTGGGGGCTGCAGGGAGGCTACATCCTTCTAGGACACACCCCATCGGCCCAGACCCCACCCAGTCAATCCACTCACGCTAGGAGGGGTGATGAGGTTACAGCTGTCACAGCCTCAGTTGTTTCACCTGTGAACATTCCTGCATAAGCACAGCAGCTTTTAGGGGACGCCCAAACTTTGACATTCACTAGGTTAGGTATCTTTCTCATCTCTGGCCCATTTTCTAATTTGGTTGTTTTCTTTTGTTACCAGGGATTGAACTCCAGGGCACTCAACCACTGAGCCACATCCCCAGCCCTATTTTGTATTTTATTTAGAGACAGGGTCTCACTGAGTTGCTTAGCACCTCACTTTTGCTGAGGCTGGCTTTGTACTTGCGATCCTCCTGTCTCAGCCTCCCAAGACAATGGGATTACAGGTGTGTGCCACTGCGCCTAGCTAATTTGGTTGTTTTCTTTCTTAGTAAAGGCACGTAAATTTACTTGGGAAAGCAAGGAATACACATTCAAGGGTAATGTGGGAATGTGGGCCATCTTGAGTGAGAGAGCTATTTTCATATTGTTGAGATGTAAGACATCCTCGTGTATTTTAGATAACAGTCCTTTATTAGATATGTCTTTGCAGATGTTTTCTTCCATCTGTGTCTTTCCTTTTCATTCTCTTTTCTGACCCTTGCAGAGCAGAAGTTTTACATTATGGAATTGCAGCTGTTGTTACTGACTTCATGGGTTATACCTTGAGTGCTGTGTTGGACGTTGGCTCTGTGGTCTGCCTCCATTCCTTTCTGAAAGGGCGGGAGGTCCGTGCCTGCACATGCTGCTGCTGCAGCACCACATCTGTTCTCACTGTGCAGGCTTTGATATTTTGTCAGAGATCTGTTGACTGTATTTACATGGGTCTATTTCTAGGTGTGGCTTGCTTTTTAGTCTTTCAATTGTGTCTTTTGATAAACAGAAATTTTTTATTTTTATTTTTCTTAGTTGTCAATGGACCTTTATTTTATTTGTTTATATGTGATGCTGAGAATTGAACCCAGTGCCTCACACATGCCAGGCAAGTGATGTACCACTAAGCTACAACCCCAATCCCTACAAACAGAAATTCTTTTTTTTTTTTAATATTTATTTATTTATTTTTTAGTTTTTGGCGGACACAACATCTTTGTTTGTATGTGGTGCTGAGGATCGAACCCGGGCCGCACGCATGCCAGGCGAGCGCACTACCACTTGAGCCACATGCCAGCCCCAAACAGAAATTCTTAATTCTAATTCAGACCAGTTTTTTCCTATATAGTTACTTCTTTTTGTGTTCTATTGAAGAAATGTCATTCTGCCCTCAAATCATGAGATACTCCAAAAACTCCATTGTTTAGCCTTTATTTTTAAGTTTACGATATGCCTGGGGTTTGTTTTGGTTATGCATTAGGCAGAAGTAAGACTCCTGTTTCCATTAGGGACAATGGCAAAGAGGCTGCCTGCACCCTGGTTGCGAGCTGGTCTGAGTTGGCTGAGGTGGGACCCTCACACATGCTGGTTTATACTTGCAGGTAGAAGCAGGGATAACAGAAGTCTAGCATTCATTGTGAGCTGGTCCCAAGGCTGAGAACTGCTTGGGACCCTGGAAAGCCACCTACCTGGGGTCTCATACCCCAGGAGACAGGACTACTCACTGGGCTAGATCGTTGGAGGACATCCTGTTTATAGGGACAGAAACAGAGCCCAGCTGTTCTAACATGTCCCTAGCTGTCTTAGGATGCTGCTCCCCTACCATGCCCTCTGAATTCTTGAGAACCCCAGTGAGGAAGAGGAGAACTGGGGAGGTCCAGGCCACTTGGAGAACTGTCCTGCAGTGTTGGGCTGAATCGGAACCCTCACGCAGCCCTGCTGGCTGTGTCACCTTTCACTGAAGTGGTGTGGCCACCTTTGGGGCACGTGCTTCCTGGGTGTTCCTGCTTTAAAACTTCAGTCCGAGAGGTGCTTTCTTCTTCTGCTGGGATGTCATTTCCTTTCCTCTGGCTGATGGGCAAGTAAGCCAGCTGGCAGTGCTCTCTAGGCCAGAGCAGACTTGAGCAGAGGCCTGCCGGCTCCAGCTTCAGGCACTGCACGGCTCTGGAGACCGTGGTGCTGGCAAGCCTCTGCTTTTCACAAGACTGAACTCCAAGAGGCCAGGGCCTGCCTCCCCCTGCAGGGACACGGCCACACTTTGCTCTCCAGGAGAGAGAACCCTGGCTCCATCTGAACAGATCAGGGCGTCACCGGCCCCTCTCAGGAATGGCTTAGTCAGCACAGTCTAGGTCAGCAGGTGCTACAGTGCTTTAGGCCTCTGCTGTGAGAGCCTAAAGCACTGCCTGTGGGGGCTCCACCCACAATGGAAATACACAAGGGCAGGTGGGGCCTGGCCTGAGTCCTTGTGGACTGCACCTCTGTCCCTGCAGCCAGACACAACCTGTCTGTCTTGTACCGAGAGGCCTCCTGGCACCAAGATGTATGGTCCTACCTGGCACTGCCATCCAGGTTGAGAAAATACCACCCCATGGCACTCTGGCACCCTGGTAGGGATGGCAAGGAGATGTTCCACTGTGGCTCCTGACTGGGGCTCCTGGCTCCAACCTGCAAGCCAGGGCTTGCGGCCCCTCTAGGACCCACAGCCCCTTGCCTAAGCCACCTGAGGGGCTACTGCTACACATTAACTCAGAGCAGTGATAGCCATATCTCAGAGGCCCTCCCAGCTATAAGGACCTTACTCTGTGTTCCTCTAAAAAACACATGCAGGTTAAAATATGAAACAGCTGCCAGGTGCTGCACACATGTCTCTCATCCTAGCGACGGAGAGGCTGAGGTGGGAGGATCGCTTGCAGGGCCGTCTGGGCAACTTAGCCTGTCTCAGAACGTGTGGACGCATATTTATGTATGCATAGCACTCTCACTACTTAGATCTTGATTGCTCACTTGGAGGAAGGCTGGTTTGGAATGATGATAGCTCAGTGTGCCCTATCAGAGGGACATGCTGTGAGGTCCTTCCAGCTTTCCCTGCTCAGCATCAGGCTCCTGGGTCCTTTTCCACCTAGCCTAGGTGCTCCTCATCACTGCCACAATGCAGTGAGTCAGCTTCCAGAGTGAGTGTGTGCTCTGTGGGCTCTTCTCCTGAACCAGAGTGTGCTACCTTGAGAGACACAGATGTGAGAAGATGGCGTCTGTGTGTGGGTGAGCGAGCAGCACTGCTGATCTGGAACTGTGCTCTGGCATGCTGTGTCTGCCCAGCATATGTGTGTGTGTGCAAGGACAGTTGTAAGGATGCAGAGATTCGACTCGTGCGTGTCAGCAGGGGATGGAGGAACTGCCCATCTTGGGAGCCTGCCCCTGGTCTCCTCTGGGTGAGAGGAAATGGCAGCTTCTACCTGCACTTCTTCACAGTGAGGTGGGAGAGGCTGCAGTGCCTTTCAGGAGCTCTGACCTCAGAGAGCAAACACTCCAGTCCCCTCAGAGTTGGCTGCCAGGACAGATTTCTGTGATTGGTGATTGTATTCTTAGGTCCAGTATTGCTGCTGACCAGTGACAACATTAAACAGCGCCTTGGCTCAGCTGCTCTAGACAGGTGCGTTAGCCCCCAGCATCTGTTTGCCCACATAGAGACAGCTGCTGACCTTTGCTTCCACCTCTTAGCAATCCAGGCAATCCAGACATGCACCCTACTACTCCTGTGTCCTGCATCCCCATGCCCCAGTGTGTTCCCTGCATAACCACACTACTGGGCACCATTGGGCCTACCAGGGGACCAGGCCTTTCCTTATCCTATGGCCAGTTCTGCACCCCACCCATTCACTGCCCTGCTACAGCCTCTGCTCAGCTCATTCTCATCAAGAAGGGACAGGCTGGGAATGCTGGGCAGGGAGGGGGCGTGAGGGCTGGCTCTGCATTTGGGAGGGGTCATGCTAACAGAGGGGCCAAGGATCTCTGGAGCTGTCCCCAGAGGCTAAGTGCCTGCCTCTGGCTCAGCCTCCACGAGTACCGGCTGTCCAGCTGGCTGGGGCAGCAGGAGGACATCCACCGGATCGTACTCTACCAGGCAGACTGCACGCTCACACCCTGGACCCAGCGCTGCATCCGGCAGGCAGACTGCATCCTCATTGTGGGCCTGGGCGAGCAGGAGCCCACCGTAGGTGAGGTGAGCACTTAGGGGGTTCCTTCTCAGAACTCTCCTTTTATTTTCCTTTGAATGAGACATTTCAAGAACTTAGGAAAGGACCCAGTTATCTGCAACCCATGCTTTAGAAACATTTTACTGTGTTCACATCCTCTGGGGGTTTTAACACAAAGCCCTGACCAAGTGGCCCTGGCAGAGTTGGAGCCTCTGTCAGCCTGACATTCTTAATACTATGTGTATAAAACCCTCCTCCACAGGCTTAAGATCTGGTAGGAGGAGTACCCTGTTTCAGATAATTCTGAGATATCTTTTCCTTAATACTTGGGATCCATGAGCTTTTTCCATGTTTTTTTTATTTATTTATTTATTTATTTTTTGTAGTTGTAGATGAACAAAATGACTTTATTTTATTTGTTAATTTTTATGTGATGCTGAGGATTGAACCCAGTGCTTCACGCATGCTAGGCAAGTATTCTGCCTCTGAGCCACAGCCCCAGCCCGCTTTTTCCCTGTTGTTCCACTCATTTTTTGGCTTTTATTTTTTTGTTGGTGAGCACCATACCATCTGCACATGTATTCTCAGCCTGTGGGCAGTGGAGTCATTTCACAGCCACCAGCCATGTGCAGGGTGCTTCAGGGTGCCTGTAAGCTGCTAACCACAAAGAACATCTTCAGGTTTCCCAGATGTCACTGGTCTGTTGCCCTGGTTGCTTTCATAGGTCTCCCTTGTGCATGTCTGCAAGGCTCCAGGTCCTTCCCAATGCTAGGCACTGTCAGCCTGTTCATCTGCTCCAGCTGTGTTATGAAGCAGAGCCTCTCCACCCCTGGAGTTAGGTCCCCACCTCCTCCCTCTGCTCCACTGCTCTGTGCTCATCTCAAGCTTCTTTCTGGCCCGTATAATCCTGGGACAGCTAAAAATTCCTCCTCTCTGATGTTTGTTCCCTTTCTGCAGGGAGCGATGCTCGCTGGGAAGGGTGAGTGCTGCCAAACACATCACTGCAGAGGGCGCCGTGCGCACTCGTGGGGCAGTGTAAAGAAGAGGCACCTGCTTTTGCACCCCCAGCTCCTCACAGCCACACTGACCACTCAGCATGCATGGTTAGGCAGGCCCTGTGGTCAGAGCTTCAGCAGCCCCAGGACAGGCCATGTCACAGCCCAGGTGTTACACAGAGTTAGGGAGCCACTCTTGGACCCTTCCTAAAGCCCTCCTGCCCTATGTGGGACAGCGGCCAGGTGGTTCCAGTGCAGGTGTTGGTGGCATCCCTGTGCTCGCCCTCAGCTCCATCCTGCCCGCAGTCCTCAGGCATGCCTGGGTGGGCTGACTGGGCCCTGCTCTCCCCAGCTGGAGCGGATGCTGGAAAGCACAGCCGTGCGTGCCCAGAAGCAGCTGGTCCTACTGCACAGGGAGGATGGTCCAGGGCCAGCCCGCACCGTGGAGTGGCTCAACATGCGGAGCTGGTGCTCCGGCCACCTGCACCTCTGCTGCCCACGCCGTGTCTTCTCTAGGAGGAGCTTGCCCAAGCTGGTGAGGCCTGGTGGGCTGCCATTAAGTTCCTGAGCCCCTGCACACCGTCTCCCCTGACCTCCTGTTTGCACAGTGCTTGCATGTCTAGACCCGCTTTCTCTCCATGCTGTCTGGAGGCTGAGCTGTGGGCTCTGTTAGGAGGTTTGTCTCCTTTGCTCCTGGACTCTGGCTATGAGTTGGTGTTTGCTTGACCTTGGGATCCTTGGGCCATTTTATGGTGCCGTGCAGGTATGGGGAAGTCCAGGATGGTGGAGGTATAGCACAGAGAGGCCATCAGGGGCCTGGGGGTACGAGTTAACCCAAAAGCTAGGCCTGAGGGAGTCAAGGGCTGAACCTGAGGGTCTCACATTCAGCCAAGGCTCCGAAAAGCCTTGAAGGTCTGGTCAGCCCTGCCCAGCCCTGGGCAGAAGCAGACAACAAACCCTGAGACACCTCTTCCTCAGGCCATCCTCAGCTTGATGGGCTCAGGGGCCAGGTTGAAAGGAGTATGGAGGCTGTCCATATACCACAGCCTACTCGGCCCCTGAAGCTCAATGGACAGCATTCTAATGACTGCACCCCTGCCCAGGACCCGAGAGCACTCTCTACCAAAAGGGCCTGTGGGAGATCCCCCTGAAGGAGCTCCAGCTCTGCCCATTCTGGGCCTTCATGATCACCCATGTGCCTTCTGCCAACATTCACCCCTGGGTGAGCCTGGGCTGGCTCTGAGGCCCCTGGGCATCAAGGTACTGATGGGGCCATGACCTGGAAAGGAGACGACTTTGGGTGAGGAATGAAGGAAGTCTGCCCAGACCAGTCAGGTGTGGGGGTCATGACTGGGCGTCCAGCGCAAACCCCTATCTTGTGCTGACCCTCTCAGATGGAGATGTACGAGCGTGTCTTCCAGCGACTCCCAGACCGGCACTCGGACTTCTCCCGCCTGGCACGGGTGCTGACTGGCAACGCTATTGCCTTGGTGCTTGGAGGAGGGGGAGCGAGGTGAGTCCCTGGCCCAGGTACTGCTGCCCCTGTGCATGCAGGGGCCCATCATTCCTGCAGGTGCTATGCTGGACTCCCAGGAGGACAGTGGTGTCACACCACTGACAAGAGATGCAGACCACGGTGGCCTGTGCCGCCATCAGGAGAGTACCCAGGTGGTCGGCAGGGGTGTGGTCTGCCCAATGAAGCACCTCCTGCAAGCAGGCCCAGCAAAGCTGCCCATTTCCTTGTTACTGGTAGAGTAGGAGAAGTGTTGTATCTCGTTCTGATTGTCTTTGCCTGGAAGCCTTTGCTTGCTTTTAGCCACCTGGGTCTCCTGTCCTCCAAAAACTATTGTCTTCTTCCCCCAGCGTCCCCTCAGGCTCCTGGTGAGCTGCTTTTATCTTGACACACAGTGTGAAGTAAGGATCTGATCCATGTGTGAACTAGTGAAGTGTTCCTTAGTTCTTGGGCTGAAGGTTCCTTAAAGGACTTTTAGCCCAAATCATTCCTACTCTGGGTCATTGGACCCTTATCACCTTCTCCTGAAGTGAGAGAAGTAGAGCCAGGGCATCATGGGGTAAGACCAGGCTGGTGCCTTCTTCTGGTGAACCAGAAGGAGCACAGTGAGCCACACTGTGCCACATTGTGCCAAACCCCCAGCCCCAAGGAAGGCAGCACTGCACAGGCATTGGCTGCCCCTACCCCCCCTGGGGGGGGGCAGTGGAGGCTTGGATTGTTCTGCTGGGAGACCCGCCTGCCTCCTGCAATTCCAGTTCTGAGCCAGGAACTCAGCAGAGGCACCTACTCAAGCTCCTTGTACTGATTCCTGGCAGTACTTGACCTTGTGGCAAAGTGATAGTGCTTTGTTCATTGTATCTCAGGGATCCTGGGGTGACTTTGCCCCTTGTCCCACTCTCACTCCAGTGACAAAGAGACTGGGCTAGAGGAGAGGGGTGATTACCCATGACTGTCAGGCCCAGGAGAGGCCAGTGTCCTTTCTGTAGGGCTGGACAACAGGCATGTGGAGCAGATGGGCCCAGACTCAGGCCTGGCTTGCAGGTCAGGCCAGCAGCATCTCAATGAAAATGCATTTTAATACAAATGCACTTATGGGGCTGGGGCTGGGGCTCAGAGGTAGAGCACTCACGTACCACATGCGAGGCCCTGGGTTTGATCCTCAACACCACATATAAATAAATAAATAAAATTAAGGTATTGTGTCCAAGTGCAACTAAAAAATAAAATTTTTTTTAAAAAAAGAATGCACTTAGAAGCCATGAGGTTCTGTAAGGCACAGGACAAAAAAAAAAAAGATCTTACAGCCTCTCTAGCACCAAATCCAGAGTTCCCAGAAACACCCACTTACCCCACTCTGTGACCATCTGCTTGTCTCCTTTCCTTTTGGACTGATGGTCTGCTTTCTGCTGTTGTAGATGACTGGCTTCCTGGCCCTCCTGCGCACTCTTATTCTGCGTCCTCCTCATCTGTCTGCTCTGCTCCCTTCGTCCCATTAGGGTCCCCGTGTAGCCTGCAGTGGCTCAGCCAGCTCTTTCTGTTTCATTGTGAAATGGCTCTCATGGGGCACTCTGGGATCACTCCTCTTTCCTTGTTGCACCTGCATCTGCTCAGCTTCTGGTGTGAGCTGTGCACCTGCAGGCACTGCTGGAAGCATTGGCACCCACTAGTAGGCTCAGACAGAACAGGCCACCTCTGCTCGCACAGTTTAGGGTCGCCACCCTCATCTCTGCTGGCTGCTCTCTAGCTGTTGGGATGTCGCCCTGGGAACTGCCTTTGGCTCATTTCCTGTGTTGTGCTTTCTTCCTCTGTCTTGATATGCTCCTGTTTTTGGTGATCTCTTAGAGAATGCATAGGAGGCAAACATGTTAAGATCCTACCTCTCAGAAGACACCTTATCCTACACTCATACTTGCATGATAGTTTGGTAGGATTTGGCCGTAAGTACTTCCCAGGGCTTCATTGTCTTTGTAGCATATTGCTGTTGAGAAGTTTCATGCTATTGTTCACAGGCCTGGGTTTTAATCTGGAACACTGAAGGACATTCTTGGTCCTTGGTATTCTGAAGCTACATGGGATGTGCCTTGATGTGGTTGTTTTTTGTCCATTACACTGGATGCCCTTTGGGTTCTTTCAAACTTGGAAATTCAGCCAGGTGTCATGCCCAGCTAGTCAGGAGACTAAGGCAACAGAATTGCAAGTATAAGGCCAGCTTCAGAGACTGAGTGAGACCCTGTCTCAAAAAGATTAGGGGACAGTCTGGGATTATAGCTCAGTGGTAGAGCACCTCTGGGTTTAATCCCATTATCCTCCCCCACCCAAGAAAAAACTCTGGAAAGTGTTTTATGTTTTAAAATAGTGTTTACCTCTTTCTTTTTCATTTTCTTGGAGCTCCTACTGGTCGAGTATTGGCATCCTAGATGGATTCTCTAATTCTCTTACCTTTTCTTTCCCATATTGTCCATCTTTATATTCCAATTAATTTTTCCACTAAAATAACTCTAACACCGAGTGATCTCTCTTCCTAGTCTTCCTGACTCCCTAGTGCAGCTGTCCCTGGGACAAGCAATGGCAGGCTCCTCGCTGGCTCTGCTGGCCTGTTTACATCTCCCACCATGAGCTGGTATATCTGGCTCTGTGCTCGTGACATGCTGTGTGAAGGTTGTGTCCTCGGCTGCAGGTGTGGGGAGCCAAGGACTATTCCATCGAGCACTCCTTTTTCACCCCTCCTTCTTCTGGTAGGCATTTAGGTTGTTTCTTGCTTTTGATTTTTAGGAGCAAAAGGATAATAACACTCTTTACATGGGCACATGTTTTCTTGTCTCTTAGGCAAAGGCCTGGGAATGGAGTTACCTGGCCACAGGGTAGTTGTGCCATTTTACACTTACCAGTTATGTGTGAGAGTTCAGTTTTCCACATTCTTGCCACCCGTTGGTATTGTCAGTCTTTCAGTTGTAGCCACTCTAGTGGGCGTGCTGTGGTCTCTGTGTGGTTCTCATTTGCATCTCCCGATGGCAGGATGTGGAGCTTCCGTTTTGTAAGCTGGTGTGCTGGTTGGCCATATGCGTGTGCGTCCTTTTTTATTTATTTTTTGGTTCTGGGGATTGAACCTAGGGGTGCTTGCTTTGCCACTGAACTGCGCCCTCAGCCCTTTTATTTTCATTTTTGAGACAGGGTTTGGCTAAGCCTGGCCTTGAACTTGCAACCCTCTTGCCAAAGCTTCCAGAGTCCTGGGGCTACAGGTGTGGCCCCCATGCCCAGCACATGCATCCTATTTTGTGAGGTATTTGCCCAGGCTCTGTGACTGTTCTACCAGGCTTCCTTTATCATAGAGTTGGATGAGTTCTGTACATATTCTGACTGCAAGTCTGTCACCAGATATATTTATTGCTAATATTTCTCTTGGCTTTTGACTTTCTTTTCATTTCCTTTATGACATCTTCGAATGAACTATTTCTAATTTTTTTCTATTTCATTTAAAAAATTTGTTCTAATTAGTTATACATGACAACAGAATGCATTTTGACACATTGTACACAAATGGAGCATAACTTCTCCTTCCTCTGGCTGTACATGGTACAGAGCTACACAGTAATCATACAGGTATATTGGGTAATAATGTCCATCTCATTTCACCTGTCCTTCCCATCCCCACCCCTGCTCTTGCACAATCCAAAGTTCCTTCATTCTTTCCTACCCACCCCCCCTTATGATTTTTTATAAATTGTGATTTTTTTTCCAGTTTTTTTATGGTTATTACTTCTGGGTATTCTGAGAGGTTTTGCTTATCCTAGGGTCATAAAGGAATTCTGTTTTTCCTTTTAAAAGATTTGCAATTCCAGATTGTCCGTGTAGGCCTTTGATCTACCTCAAATTAATTTCTGTGTGTGGTGTGAGGCAGGAGTTGGTCTCTACTACACGCTGTCTGCCAGGACCTCCCTTCCCTGTGGCGCTGAGAGGCACCTGCTGGGCCCTGTGTGGGGGCTGCGCTGTTGCAGAGCCTGTTTCGTCCTCAGTGGCAGCACTGCAGTCTTAGTGAAATGGCTTTGTGGTCAGTTTTGACTGGTTTGGATAGGGATGCACCCAGTCTGTGGGTCACTCTGGGGAGAAAGGCAGCTGTGCAGGGTGGACTCCCGCTGGCAGGCATGCCTCCCTCACCCAGGCCTCAGTGTGGAGGCCAGGCTGTCACTGGGTAAGTGCACTGCTAACTTTTCTTTAGAACTACTCTAAGTGTGTTTTTTGGATTCTGCTTTCAGACTGGTCATTTCAGCATACAGGATGCAGCTAGGCTGGACTTGCACTTCACAGCTGCTCGACTCCCTTGTTCTGGGAGCTTTTTTGTGGAAGTTTTTGGATTCTGTGCCTGCAATTGTTATCTGGGAATGAGCACTGGTCCTCCTCCTCTCCAGCCATGTACACGTGCTCAGATTCCTCCCCTTTCCTTCTGCCCTGCCAGAGCCTCCAGTGCAGGACTGATGGACCTGGGAGCGTCTGTGCTAGCCTTGGGGTGTGCTTGGTTGTCACTTGGCATGATCCTGGCTGTAGACCGTGGCGGTCTTGCTGAATCCAAGGAAACCCCTCTGCTCTCAGTTTTTGTCACAAATGGTGGCACCCAGGGTCTGGTGAGGTGATTGTGTCTTCCTCTCTGTCCTATTAAAGTATGAATCACAAATAAAAGCCAAACCCAAGTCCCTGCAGTGGGTGGGTCTGGCTGTGCCAGGCTCAGTCTGCAGGGCAAGTCCCTCTGCATCTGCAGCGCTGGGAGGAGCAGGCTTCCCTCAGTACCACATGCTTTGCTGCCTTCCCAGGTCACAGAAGGAAGGGCTCTTTTCCTGCTCTCTGAAAAGTTTGATGTAAAATTTGCATTCTTTCTTCCTTATATGTATAGTAAAATTTACTAGTATAACCATTTAGATATGAAATATGAAATTTATTTATTTGATTGGTTGTAGTCCTAGGGATTGAACCCAGGGGCACTCTACCACTGAGCTATACCCCAGCCCTTTTGATTTTAATTTGAGAAAGGATCCCACTAAGTTTCCCAGACTAGCCTCTAACTTGCAGTGCTCTGCCTCAGCCTCCTGAGTTGCTGGGGTTACAGGCATGTGTCCTGCTGAACATGAAATTTTCTCTGTGGGTATTTACAAGTTAAATATCCCATTTCTTTAATATTTACAGTACTTTTCAGATTCTCTATTTTACTTTTGGGTTTTGTAGGTGATGCTTTTCTTGGGTCGGGCCCCCTTTATCTGAGTTTTCCCACTGTGAAGCTGCCCAGTCGCTTCTCCTCAACCACAGCACCTGTGGGATGCACCTCTTCCTGATGGCATTGCTTCCCTCCCTCATCTCCCTTTCCCCCTCATCTCCCACTGATTGTCCTTTCTAAGCACTCACTTCTGGTTTTGTTGACATCTTTATTGTGTGTTTGGATTTTGGTTAATTTCTGCTCTTATCTGTATTATTTCTTTGATTTCACTCTTTTATTTAATTTATTCTCTTTTCCTACCTTATGGGCCAGCAGACATTGTCATAAAGGAACAGATGGTAAGTGTATGGTCTTTGTCATAATCACAAAAGTATGAAGGAGCGAGCTCTTTTTACTGCACCTCTGATGGCAAGGTGTCTTTCCTTTTCTTTTGCCATGCTGGGGATTGCAGCCAGGGCTTTGTGCATGCTAGGCAAGTGCTCCATCATGGAGCCACATCCCAAACCCTTGTCTTATTTTTCCCCCTCAGTCTGGTTTGAATATGGTTTTTATTGCTTTGGGTTTTCAACAGTGCAGGCACAGTTATCTTTGGATTTGAGCCTAGGGTTTATGATGCTCTTTGAATGTGAGTCTTTTTTTTTTAAATATCTTTTCAGTTGTTGATAGACCTTTATTTTATTTACTTATATGTGGTGCTGAGAATTGAACCCAGTGCCTCACACATGCAGGCAAGTGCACTACCACTGAGCCCCAGTCCCAGCCCCAGCCCCTGAATGTGAGTCTTGATGCAGCCATCAGTTCTAAAACTGCCCAACCATCATCTCTTCAGATATTGCTCTGTCCCCACTTTCTTTGCTCTCTGGGCTTGAATTGCACATAAATTAGAACTTTGTGCCAGATCCTTTGCTTCTGAAGCTCCTGTGCCTGTTTTTTGAAGGAATAGTTTACACATCCCATCCTCTTGATGCTTTGTGAGCCAGTGGGCATTTTCTTCTGCTCCTCTTAACTGTCACATCACGCTCTTCAGCTCTGTCTAGTCTGCTATTAGGTTCAGTCACTGAGTTCTTCTTAGTTTCTACTTCTAGAATCACCATTTGATTTAGTTTCTGATTCTGTGTCCAAATTGTCAGTCATGCCCATCCTACACTCTTTTTGTAGTTGTACTTGAGTATTTAATTTTCACATGTGTTCATTTTTGCCCTTTCTGAGTGCACACTTAAGGACACTCATGTGGCTGTGAAGCTGTCAGCACCATCCCGAACACTTTTATCCCACCAACAGACTCAGCCCACTAGCGCCAGCTTCCGTTGCCCTCTGCCCTCATCTCCTGGTTCGTCTCCATGCAGCTGCCTGTTCCAGGTCCCTCATGTGCGTGGCAGCATGCACCCCTTGTCCCTGTGGTCTCCTTCTCACCAGCCGCACCAGCTCACATGCTACAAATGCACTTCCTTCCTTTTGTTCTCCACTGTAGCAGTTCCCACCTTTGGCTCCTGGGGGGGGGGGGGAGCTTCAAGCACCATCATTCTAAAACCCAGTGCCTGATACTTCGGTTGTCTGGGCTCCCTCTGGGCCACTTCTGTTGTTTGTGTTTCTCATGGTTTGTGGCCAGGTAGTTTATCTCTTCATGTGGCTAGTAGACTTCCTGCATGGAAATGGCAGTGACAAGTGCAGGCTCTGGGTGACAAGTCCAGCCGGGGCTGGAAGTGATCAGAAGCTGGCTTCCTCGCCTCTGGGAGGGCTGGTCCATTTCCAACTTGCTCTGATTCCTGGGTTGGCCCTCGGGGTGCTTTTCAGGACCTCTCATTTCCAGGGGGCCCTCAACTCCACTTTTCCTCACCCCTGAGACTGGCAAGAGTCCTGTTCCACTTTACCGTCTCTGCAGTGCCCTCCTTGCTGGCGTGGCAAGTGTCTGCAGGTGAAGAGGCCACATACCTACCGGCTCTCCTGTAACCTGTCCTCCCTCATCCCATGCCCACCGTCTCCTTGGGGGTCTTAAATTACCTCCAGCCTCCCTCTCTGCATTAGCATCATTGCCATCTATATGACCTGTGCAAGAGCAGGGACAAGGAGGAGTGGGTGGGTTGCAAGCAGCCACCTCTGGCCCTCTCTGGGACATAGCGGGGCTGAGCTGGTGATGGCACTTACTTCCTCTCTATGCTCCTGGCTGTGAAGGGGCTGCGCCCAGGTGGGCATCCTCAGGGCCCTGGCAGAGTGCAGCATCCCCGTGGACATGGTTGGAGGGACATCCATTGGGGCCTTCATGGGTGCCCTGTACTCTGAAGAGAGGAACTACAGCCAGATGAGGATTCGGGCCAAGCAGTGGGCTGAGGTAAGTGGGTACCTTTCCCGAACCAGGTCTCTAGGAAACAGCCCCACAGGTTTGAGGGACAAAGGAAGAGTGTAGGAAAAGACACTGCTGCCGTGGGAAGGGACAGCAAGGAAAGGCCTCTGCCACTGGAGGGAGAGCGGGTATTGCCCACGGTCCCTGAAGAAAAGAGGCACAGCCCACCACACAGGGCAGAGTGAGGCAGGAGGGCACTGGGGCCACTCAGGAGCAGAAAGGAACAAGGTGGCCCAGGCCTGGTTTCTACAGCACAGGTAGGTGAGCTGCTTAGGACCAATAGGGGGTCATTCCAGCAGCCCTGGGGGCTTAGTACCTGGATCTGGGTGATTTAGGGCAGGGGAGTTGGTGTGAGTCGGATGAAGGAGAGGCCAGGAATGAGCTCTGCCCAGCAGAGGGACATAAACAGCTCCAGCCTTGAGTCTGGCCTTGTTTTAAATGGGCACCAGAATCAAAATACCCAATGTAGAATCAGAGGAAGCAGAATAGCTCAAGCTCTGCAGTGGGTTGGCTCTGCGGTTCTCTGCTGCTATGCCTCTTCTTTCAAGACAGTTAAGCCCTGTTGAAGCCATGTGTGGGATCAAAACTGTTTGTGTTCTTCTTTCTAAAAGGGAAGAAAACTGTCCATCTTCCAGGCATAAGCTCTTGGACTAGGTCATCTGCTGTGTTGACGAGTCCTGGGGATGCCACTGTCCCCACCACCAGGCCTCCAAGGACCCTGCTGTGGGGCTCCCCATTCAAGAAATGGTTCTTCCCTGAAATAAGTTCCCCAGTCACTCCTCAAACGCCACTCAAAAGAGATAGCAACGATTACTAGGGATGGCTCCAAGAGCACTGACCACAGGACATTGTGTGCAGTGGGCAGAAGATAACTTAGCAAGGGTCTAGTCCCTTGGGGGGAGACAGGCTCAAGCCCGCAGGAAATCCTTTCCATTACCTCCCTCTGCAAGTCTGGTACTGGAGACCAGGTATGGGAATGGTTCTTCCACCATCCTGAGGGTATGCTGGTCTGTGGAACCCTGCCAGGGCTGCCACCCTACAGGGAGCCATCTCTGGGCAGGGTGGGATAGAGCCATGTGCCCAGCTGCACTATAATGAGGAGATGGGGTGGCAGTGGGACTTCCTCAGGAGTGGACCCAGGTCTTGGGCACCAGTTCCTTGTCCAGGAGCTGCAGCTCTCTTGCTTGCCTTACGGGACAGTCTTCATGTGGTGATGTGAGCACAGGGGCTTCTGATGCTAGTCAGGCCCTGGGCTCATCCTGTCACGTCTGAACCAGGCACCCTGCACACAGCAGCAGGGAGGGCCTTTTACTCCCTCCCTGGCCCTAGGTCAAAGGCTGGCCTTGAGACCAGGTGCTCTCCAGTGGGGCCAGTCACAGTAGTGCTCAGTGCTTTGGCCCCACCCAGAGAGCCACCAGCAGAGCAAGGGCGAGGGTGGGATCAGCTCCCATATCTCACTGGTCATATGCCATTTCTGGGGACCTCAGTGAGATAAGCAGTTGGGCCTGAGCTCTTCCTGACATTGCCCACTCCACCTGGTACTCCCACACTGCAGGCAGACCTGGAGCCCAGGGAACAAGTGTGCTGTGAAGCCCCCAAGGGCCAAGTTGGCAAAGCCTGCCTATGGCCAGGAAGGGCCAGAGGATGTGGGGCTGGTTCCCAGATTCTCTACTACTCCATGCCCACAGTATCGCTCCCCCAAGAATCCAGGCAGCCTGGGTCTGAGGACATGCCTGGACACCCATGTTCTGTTGCTGGAAGCACACCTGTGTGCCCATATCCTGCTCCAGAGAGGGTCCTGCAGACCTAGGCGTGAGCCCCTCTGCAGAGACCTTCATCTTCCCAGGACATGACATCAGTGGTGAAAACCATTCTGGACCTGACCTACCCGATCACATCCATGTTCTCTGGAGCAGGCTTCAACAGCAGCATCTGCAGCATCTTCAGGGACCGGCAGATTGAGGTGCTTTCCCAGGGATGCCCTGGGAGCCATGCCACTCTTGGCTGGCACTGGTCGTTCACCCTCAGTGCCCTCCTCTTCCTCCTAACATGGGTAGGGCATCCCTGAGGTCCCCTGAGCCCTGTACTCCCCACAGGACCTGTGGCTCCCCTACTTCGCTGTCACCACCGACATCACAGCCTCTGCCATGCGGGTCCACACAGATGGTGAGTGCCATCTCTAGATCAGGGAGTTGCAGGGCCAGCCCAAGTGGGTCAGTGGCCCAGGGGAGCAGGCAGCCATGGGAGCATGGGCAAGAGGAGAGCCAGCAGCTCTGTGTGGTCACCAAGGAGACGAGGCGCAGGCAGGTCTGCACAGGGAGGGCACCTTGGACAGGAGGGGCAGGGCAGGTGGCAGTCAGGGTGTCCAGGTGACAGAAGGGCTCTATAGGGAAGAGTGAGGGATGGTCACACTTGGGCACAGGGAGCTTAGGGCCCAGTAGCTATTGGGAGAGCCAGACAGAGCGATGTATTCACAGAGACCCAGAGGAAGACCTCAGTTCTGTATCCTCCTGGACCCTCACTGCCTACCCTTTTTGTTGCAAGTCCCTTCAGGGATGAGGGGTCCATCTGCTGACCCTTGACCCCTGGAGATGGGGGCTTGTGGGCTTGTGGCCCATCCAAGGGGAAGTCCAGGACAGGAACCCATAGTGGGTGGCAAAAGGCTCCTCCCTGGCCCCTCCCCCACTAGGCCCTCTCGGCTCCCTAGGCTCTCTGTGGCGGTATGTGCGTGCCAGCATGTCCCTGTCAGGTTACATGCCGCCCCTCTGCGACCCCAAGGACGGACACCTGCTGATGGACGGAGGCTATATCAACAACCTCCCAGGTACTGCAGAGGGCTGGGGCTCCTGCCCGCTGGCACTCAGCAACTCGGTCACTCATTCTGCTCATGGCTGTCTGCCAAGGCCGCCTCCACACCAGGAAGGCTGGGGTGGCACACGTTTTCCTTGGAGTATGCCAAAGGAGAATGTCAGGCTGGCGTCAGAGTCCTGAGAACACACAAGCTTGTGCACAGGCACACGCATGCACGGTGTGTTCCCAGCATATGGACCTGCCTGTAGCTCAGCAGTGCACGGGACAATGGCCAGGCAGACACACCAAGAGCAATTAAGACCCATCTGCACCCACAGCCAGGCGCTAATGGCCCGCAGGTATTGACCGTGCTGGGCAGGCTCCACCTGCCACCTGTTAGACGTGTGCTCAGAAGGGCCCCCGACACAGTTTGGATGCCACAAAGTTGAGGCACACAGGCTTCCTGTCTCCACAGGCCTAGTTGTGAGCAGCACTTCCTTAGGGCTTAGTGAAGCGGGGTCTGGCCCTGTCCCACTGGGTTCTGGGGTGTCCCCTTGTGCCCTGGCCCAGGTGGTGACCATAGTTGCCTCCTCTTCCCCAGCGGATGTGGCCCGATCCATGGGGGCAAAGGTGGTGATCGCCATCGACGTGGGCAGCCGGGATGAGACAGACCTTACCAACTATGGCGATGCGCTCTCTGGGTGGTGGCTGCTGTGGAAACGGTGGAACCCCCTGGCCACCAAAGTCAAGGTGGGGTGGTGCCAGGTGGCTTCTAAGCCTATGCCCTCCACCTATGAGCAGGCTGTGGAATACCTCCCAGGCTGAGTCCTGTAGGCCTGGGTCACTCCCACCCCTGCCTAGGCCCTGGGGCCAATCCTGGGGAAGCCCGCCAGAACACACTTCCAGGCCAGCTCAGGGCCTGTTCTGGGCCTGGGCCTGGGCCAGAAAGGACTGGGAGGAAGGGACCGGGGCAGGAGTCTTGGGCATGACTCTGCAGGTGCTGAACATGGCTGAGATTCAGACGCGCCTGGCCTACGTTTGCTGCGTCCGGCAGCTGGAGATGGTGAAGAACAGTGACTACTGCGAGTGCCTGCGGCCCCCCATCGACAGCTATCGTACCCTGGACTTTGGCAAGTTTGATGAGATCTGTGTAAGTGTCAGCCACTGGCCACAGAAACAAAGTGTCAGTGGGGGCAAGCTCTGGTGGTTGTTCCCTCCCCAGCCTCCTGAGAGCACGGGAAGTGGGGGCTCCTGTACCTCATAACGGCCCACTGTGTGTGCAGGAAGTAGGTTACCAACACGGGCGGACAGTGTTTGACCTCTGGGCTCGAAGTGGAGTGCTAGAGAAGATGCTGCAGGACAGGCAGGGGCCAAGCAAGAGGAAGGCCTGTGTGGTGAGAGGGCAGGGGTCTCCCCACAGGAAGAGGGCAAGGGGGGCTCTGGCAGGGAAGAGCTGGCAGAGTGCCTGGGGCGGGCCCACATTGTCCCTCCAGGGCAGCTGTGTGGTAGGCATGTATGCCAGGCAGGTGGCTATCCTGTGCCTTATACTCCAGATCCCCACTTGCCCCAATGCCTCCTTCACGGACCTTGCTGAGATCGTGTCCCGCATTGAGCCTGCCAAGATGGCCACAGTGGATGGTGAGTTGGTCACCCAGGCAGTGGGCCTGCACAACAGAGGGTGGCCTGCTGACACTGTATGGGATAGAGTAAGGCTGGCTGGGCCTCAGCACCCCACAGGTCTCCACCCCTGCCCTCATGTAGTCACACACCATTCTCTTAAGACTCCAAGAGCTTCTGGCTGGCAGAGGGTCCCCACAGTAATGAGACAGTTCCCCCCGCCAGGCTTCCCAGGCCTCTCCCACACCTGCCCCATACCTCAGCAGGGAGGGCTGGCCTGGGTGGAGCCACTAAGCCAGAGGGTGGGCCCAGCATTCACCATGCTCCAGTCTAGGCCCTGCACTTGGGGCTGGAGGCTGAGGGCTAGAGGCTGGGGGCCAGCTGCTTTACTTGTAGCAGAATGGCATGCCTTATCTTGAAGGGGGACCCGAGAGGCCCTTGTGGCTACGAGGATCAGAAAGCCCCAGACTCTAAGCTGCCTGTATTCTGGCTGAAGCCTCTGCTCATGAGGCTGAGCGAGGGCCCAGGCTTCTCATGAGTAGCTTGCCGGGTTGACAGTGGGTGAAGAGCTCTTTGTGGAAGACCCTTCAAGTGTTGGGTTGGAGCTGAAAATAAAGCCAGGTGTATACACAGGGCCTGATCTGCAGCAGCTCCCTCTGGAAGACGTAGGGTGGGTGTCTGCATGCGCACCTTTGCCTCTGAGTAAAGGCTAGGTTGTATGACTAGATTCTGCCTGAGTTTCAGCTGTGGCAGACACAGCCCCTGTCCTTAGGAAGGGGACCAATGAGGCCCTCCTCTCTGCTCCAGACGAATCTGACTACCAGACTGAGTATGAGGAGGAGATGCCAGAAATCCCCAAGGACACATACGCGGACTTCCAGAGCACCCAGGCAGAGCTGGGCTCTGACTCGGTGAGAGGCTGGCTGGGTCCTTCTAGTGCCCCTTTGGCTGGGCCTGTTCTCAAGGCCCCAGGCAGGGGCCGGCCTTAGAGTCCTGGCTCTGGGTTTGCTGCCCACACAGGTGATGTGGCCCAGGATCAACCCTCCTGGGTGGCAGCCCACCGGTTTGCACCCTGACTGAGTAGTTTGCTTCCAGGAGGGAGAGCCCATGCTGCAGCATCCGCACCCTGGCCTGGCTTCCCCACAACAACCCCAGGACAATTCATCTTCCTGGCTCCCTGGCCAGACTGCAGAGAAGCCGCTGCTCTGATGCTCCCCAGAATCCAGCATCTCCTGGGAGCCTGACCTCAAGACTGAGGCTCCACCCACTCCTGGGAGGCCACTTTACCCACCTGACAAGAGAAGCCTCAGCCAGCTGGCCGGCCTGTCAAGTCTTTACCCCCAGCCTGGGCTCTTTTCTGCACCCTCTGTGCCTCTTTTCTGCACTGGCACCCCTGCACCCCTGGGGAGATGAGCCAGCCTCCCGCCATCCCCCATGAAGTTTCTGTGAGGTGTGGGAACCCCAGATTGGCATGTTAATAAAGGTAGATCTGATTGTGTGGATTTTTGTCTCTAGGTGCCAAAGTCCCTGTGGTAGAGAAACACCAAGATGGGCCTGATTCCATCAGGAGGGGGCGGTAGGGGAGGATGAGCCGTGGTCAAAGGACAGCAGTTTCCAGGCTGGCCAGGAAGGTCGCTCAGGGTTTGAATGGAACTGGGGTCCCCCAAAACGAAAGTGAAGTCCCTCGGGCCCTTTAGGCCTTGTTCGCCCCTAGAACACACGGTGGCCAAGTCGGGGCGTGGAGAGGACCACCAGGCCCCACAGAGGACCAGAGTAGGACTCCAGGTGCCAGGCTTCCAGGCTCCGAAGACCCCGCCCAGGTCTCGTGACGCCTCGGGGCGGAGCCGGGTCTGGTCCCGCCCCGCCTGACGTCACTGGGCGGAGCCTCCGCCCCGGTTCCGCAGCTCTCTCTCCCGGTCGGCGGGACGCGCGGAGTGTCCGGCGCGGCCATGCGGGGCCCGGGCCCAAGCGCCTGCGCGACCCTGAGCCCGACCCTAGGCGCAAGCGCGACCCCCGGCGCGGCGCGGCTCCCCCGGCGGAGGCGGCGGGCGCGGGGCGCGCTCTGAGGCCCGGGGGATGCGCCGCCGCCGCGACCATGGGCGCCGCCGCCTCCAGGAGGAGGGCGCTGAGGAGCGAGGCCATGTCCTCGGTGGCGGCCAAAGTGCGGTGAGTGCGCCGGCCAGGCCGGCCCCCTGAGGTTCAGCCCCTCCCACGCGGTCTCTTGGGCAGCGCGGGCCGGTGCGCCCAGGTTCCGGGTGGGCCTCGGGTTCACGACTGACAGCATGCAGATGCGTGGCAGTGACCCTCGCTGGCGGAGCCGAGCGCCAGCCCCCTTGGCGATGGAGGGCCTAAGTGGGGGGGTGGGAGCATCGTGTTTGCTTGGGAGGGTCTTGCGAACTGCCAGAGTTGAGAATGGGCCTATGGGGCACTGACCTTGCCCACTCTGCCCACCCTGCAGAGCAGCCCGAGCATTTGGAGAGTACCTGTCCCAGAGTCACCCTGAGAACCGCAACGGTGCAGGTAGGGGGTTTGTGAGGCAGTGCCAGCAGAGAGCCCGAGGTCCCCTGCCTAGGCCAAGCCCTGCTCCACTTCCTCACATCCCCTGCCCTCCCTGGCCCAGAGCCCCAGGAGGAGCTCTGATCACTCATCACCATGACACCCACCCAGCCTGGGCCGTTGGCATGGCAACAGGCCTCCTGGCACCCCCAGGGTTGGCACCACTGTCTCCTGGGGCCAGCTGGTGGGGGGGAGGGGAGAAGTTGGCACTCTGCAAACTACTGCAGGCAGGAGGGGGGGATGCTTGTTCCTATCCCCCAGGATCAGACACAGGTAGCAAGGCCTGTCACCGCCCCCCCCCCCCCCCACACGCACACAAAAGCTTCAGACCTAGATAGGAGGAGAGGGAGGCTTGTAAACACCTATTCTGAAGGCAGCAGGGACCGGGTTCCAGCAGCCAGAGCCCCCTACATCAGGTCAGGTGCCTGCTGGGTGTTCCTTGCCTTTGGCATGCCGGGAGACTAGAGCAGGCTGCATGCTCACTCGTTGCCTCTCCCCTAGATCACCTGCTGGCTGATGCCTACTCTGGCCACGACGGATCCCCCGAGATGCAGCCAGCCCCCCAGAACAAGCGCCGCCTCTCCCTGGTCTCCAATGGCCGCTTTGAGGGTAGCCTCTCAGATGATGCTGGTGGTGGGAAGCCAGCTGTTGAGGGCCCCCAGCCCCGAGTGTACACCATCTCTGGGGAGCCAGCCCTGCTGCCTGGCCCTGAGGCCGAGGCCATCGAGCTGGCAGTGGTGAAGGGGCGGCGGCAGCGGCACCCTCACCACCATAGCCAGCCCCTGCGTGCCAGCCCTGGCAGCAGCCGTGAGGACCTCAGCAGGCCCTGCCAGAGCTGGGCAGGCAGCCGACAGGGCTCCAAAGAGTGTCCTGGATGTGCCCAACCTGCCCCTGGGCCCTCCCCTCAAGCCTTTGGGCTAGACCAGCCGCCTCTGCCTGAGGCTTCTGGCCGTCGCAAGAAACTGGAGAGGATGTACAGCGTGGATCGAGTATCTGGTGAGGGGCTCCTCGGCACCTGCAGATGTAGATGGCATGCTCTGTGAGGCTGGTAACAGGTGGAGGCTGCCTGGGTCACATCCTGCAGGCAGACTCAGAATGAAGCCCTTGGGCTCATGCCACCACCTGCATGCCCTGTGGGCTGTGGCCTGCCTCACTTCCTCTGCAAAGCTCTTTTAGGCCCATGGTAGGCTTTGCCCTCCCAGGACTGGGTCAGTCAAGAAGTGCTTCCTGGAGGAGGGCACCTGGGAGGATATGGAGGATGAGGAGATATTGAGGAATGAGCAGGCAGAAAGTATGACTTAATTGCAAGGTCAGGCTGTCTTCAGGAAGTCCTGGGAAAGTGTCTGGTGCCCAGGACTGTCAACCTTTGTGGGGGCTGAGGAACCCCAGAGGCTTACTACATGGAGAAGCTCTCTACACCACAGAGTAGCCTCTGTGGGACATGCCTGGGCTTCAAGGAAGGGCTGTAAGGGCCTCCTGCTCACTCTCTAAGGGGCAAGTCTGACCTATCCGAGAAGGCCCTGGGAGATCCTTTCTCTGAGCACCCTTGGAGTCAGACTGCTTTCAGAGGAATGCCTCTCAAACCTGGGGCAGCCAGAAGGAGAGTAAGCAGAGAAAGCCTCAAGCCACTGAATTTCTGAGTGTGAACAGCTGGGCAGAACCTAGTGTGGGGATTATTCCCATCTGGGAGAGAGCTGGGTGCCCGCTGGCCAGTGTGGGGCCAGGCTGCAGGCCTGCTTGTGCCAGCACAGCTCCTTCTCCCTCTTCCAGATGATGTCCCCATCCGTACCTGGTTCCCCAAGGAAAACCTTTTCAGCTTCCAGACAGCAACCACAACTATGCAAGCGTGAGTTGTATGTGTGGTGCAGGAGTCAAGGGCCAGGTCACCTCTCCTTGGTGCTCAGGAAATACTTATCCCCTTTGCTAGCCTCTGGGCCCAGCTGGAGGGCTGCTACTGAACAGCTGCACCATGCTGTGCAAGGTCTGCCAGCAAGCCGGGCTGAGGCTTCGAGTCCCAGGGTGCAGGGTGGCTGCTCCCCCAACTCCATAGCTCATGTCCAACTCCCACCTGCCCTGCCCATTCCTTGCCCCCACTCCCTCAGGACCCCCACCAACCCTGTAGTCTGACCTCTTGGGACCTGGCCCCGGGCTGCACTGCTGCTGCAGTCTCAGGTGTGGGTGGGGTGGTTCTCTTGGCCCCCACGTACCCAGATGGCAGCCTCCTCTGTCTCCAGTGAGACACAGGTGATTGTCACCCAGGGGTCTGCTCTTCTTTACCTGACATACATCTGGGTTTCCCTTCCTATGGGTCCCTTTGCTACAGGGGCCCCCACCCCATCTCCACCCTCCAGCTATTGTCCAAGGCAGGGCACCGTCAGTCCTCTGCAAGACCCACCCCCAACCTAGCCTGACTGGGGCTTAGTGCCTGGTGGTGTAGGCCCAGTGGCCTCAGCTTCCACTGCCTTTTCAGGCTGGCTCACAGCCCAGCTGGTATCCTGCTGGTGCTTGTGAGGGACCTTCCCAATTGGTGACAGGAAGGGAACAAACTTCAGGGGCCCTGGGGCTGAGGGAAGCCAGGTCCAGGCTCACCGTGTCTTCTCTCTCATGCTGCCCCTTCCTGCTGTGGCTTCAGCATCTCGTAAGTACCCCCATACAACTTGTACCTAAGGGCACAGTGGTTGTCCTGGGGGGACCCTCCCACCCTCAAGTAGGTTTGTACAGGCCAGGGACCTGAGCCTTGACAGTGAGAGTGCTGAGCCCCGTGGGCCCAGCTTCCAGTGGTCTCCAGGGCCACCGCAGGGCCTACTGGGAACTGGGCCTTGGATGCCCCTGCTGGGCCCTCTGCTTGCGCCTCTGTCCCCACGTCTGTGTCCCTCCTGCCTCTGGCCAAGGGCAGTGCTGACTCGCGGTGGTTTCCCAGGGTGTTCAGGGGCTACGCGGAGAGGAAGCGCCGGAAACGGGAGAATGATTCCGCGTCTGTAATCCAGAGGTAGGGCCTGCCAGCCACTCGCCACCAGGGTCTGTCTCTGGTCACACTGGCCTGGCCTGGGCCCTCCCCGCCCTGGCAGACCTGATGGGGGAAGGGTGGTGGCGACCACTGGCCTGGCCCTGCTCTGGGGACGTGGCAGGCAGGAGGGGCCTCAGGGCCTGGGTTGTGTTTCAGCCGCTGGATCTCCATTTTGAGGGTACATTGACCGTTGGCCTGCGTCCATCTGTCTGGTTCCAAAGCCAGAACCGAGGGTCCAGTGGCAAGGCCTACCCCCTGTTCTACCAGCATCAGAGATGTTAGCTTGTCTGTCCATCTGAACACTGTGTTTGGGGGAAGAGAGGACCACCCTCCTCGAGGCGGGGAGGGCACCTGCAGACCCCAGACTGACTTGGAGATGGTACAGACAGGATCACCTGGTTGCTGTGCAGGAGGCTAGGCCTCTCCACCCCCTGGGAAAGGCAGCCTAGTAGGGTTCAGGTGGGCATGGGTCCAGGGAGAGGATGTCAGGAATGGTCAACAGTAGAGGGGGAGCCTGGGAGCCAGCAGAACTAGCACAAAAAAAGGTGGGGGCTTGCTCCGGATGCAGGCACCCTTCTTCTGGGGCAAAGGGGTACCCTAGGAAGGTCTCAGGAGGAGGCCATGTGGGATTTATCTTTGCATGAGCAGTCTGTGTGAGAGGCTGGAACCAGGGAGAGCTCAAGGCTGCAAGGAGGGCATTTGGTCCGGGCAAAAGTGGAGGCCCAGTGAACTCAGCTGGGTGGGCTGACCTCAGGGCTGGGTGGGTCAGGGCCATTGCCCACCCGACTTATGGCCCTAAGCGCCCCCTGCTTCCTTCCCCCCCCACCCGCCAGGAATTTCCGCAAACACCTGCGCATGGTCGGCAGTCGGCGGGTGAAGGCCCAGAGTAAGATCGCGGGCTAGGGCAGTGGGCAGCATTGCGCTTGGCTGGCTGGGG